ATGTAAAATAATATAATGGTCCTACTAGAACATGTCTTGCAGGAAGAGCCAGCACTACTTACCTGGACGCATGAAGCAGATGATGAGCCCTGCAGAGGAACGCGTATAGTGCCTATGGTGCCAGACGGAAGAGTGAGGAGGACAGCTGCTTGAAGCCCCTAAGTGACCTCGGCTACCACCTGCATCACTGCATGATGATAGCCTAGGCGGCCGGGCGCGCGTTAGGGGTATTTATCCTGCAGCAACGATTGTCTGCTTACTGTCCTTAAAGTAATCGTTTTGACACACTACTGTTTCCTGGTGAATTTTTCTAAGGTTTGTGTCTATCTGTGAACAGTGGTTAATCTAGACTAGTGTGATGGTCTAATAATATAATCTGTTACAAGAGATGATGTGCACCAGGACTGAGATGCGTTGAAAGCAACACAGGTCTAGAATGTCTTCACAAACATCAGTGGGTTCAAGGCCGCCCACGATCGTACATCCAGCGAATCATCAAACCAAAGGGTTGTGAGGTTTACAGCGTACAAGTAAAATAGTGACTACAGAACTCTACGTAAATCAAGCCCGTCCTTCAAACAAAAGACCCAAAAGTGATTCCATGCACCCGCCAAATGCCCTCTTTATGAATGAAAAACGGTTTACACACGACTCACAACTGATGACGTTCGAACAGTTCCGGAACAAGTGCTTCACTGACGCATTTTGTTCGAGCCACAACCCTGTAAATGCTTCACCCATGTACTACAAATACAAATAATCTCCAACAGAACCTAACACCTAACCTATGCCTATATATGCACAAGATGCTATTATAATATTAATTTATATTTGAGAAAATTCATTTTGAATGAACAGCATGTAAAAATTTATGAATGCGTCTGTGGGGTCGACGCTGGATGTAATGGACTTCAGTCGAGGACGGGTTGCATAAATTAGTATTTGGAATTATTGTCCACCTAGCTATGTTCCGAGGCTATGCTTAGAAGCGTACTTCAGCCTGTAGTGCAAACACTTTCTAAATCAACATAATCAAAACACCTTACCTAGATCTAATTATACGTAAACTCACAATATGTAATATAAATTTACATTTAAGGAAAACGTTTGTTGTTATACTGAAATAAATACAAAACTGCATAAACAGTAAAAACCAGCTTAATTATTGTGTGAGCTGGAGGATGAGTTGCATCATGACCATTTAGTAGCAATAGCAGTTGATTCACATTCCTATTACTGAAGCGAGAGCTACCACTTTCCTTGCCTAGCATTGTAGTTATAAAGAATGACGACGGGGCTCTGCTTGAACACAAGGTGAAAGAGCAACATAATTCAACTTGCCTACTGGAGTAACTGGAGACAGGCAGCCTGGGTATATTGAGGTCCCCCTAAGTCACACTACTGACCCTCCCCAGGATGTAACCCCACAACAGTTGACTTACTCCCAGGTACCTATTTACTGCTAAGTGAACAGAGATATTTGGCAATAGAAAATGTGCCAAACCATTGCTAAATACATTTATTTATTTATTTATTTATTTATATATATACAAGAAGGTACATTGGGTTTGTGAGAATACATTGAGAACAGTTTTGCATGCAAATGCTCACTCCAGAACATTGTTGCCCATCAAGTTGTTTTTCTGGAAAACGACGATGGGCAAGGGATTTTTGGATGCATAGAATACAATTAAGAAAATTCCATCCTATATGCTTTATTCAAAAAGTAAAACCAAAAGTAGCTAATTTCATCCTCATAGTTTCCTACCTTATGTTTCAAACTCACACTAGTATCTTGTGCCACCAACTTCCCCAATATATTTAGTACTTAAGACATGAATCTTCATCAGTGTAACCACCTCCGTCAATTTATATCGTAGTTATGTGATTGAAATAAAATTTTGCTACAATGTACCTATTCAACTTACCTGATCTGTTAGATTAAAGGGCCTACCCAAAACACTGTTTTGGTGGCTTTGTAAGAATGTAAAAATACCAATGTTATGTACTCTCACAAACCCAATTTACCTTCTTGAAAATAAACAAACAAGCTACTAGAATTGAGGTTCAATGGGTTCAGCAGTTACATTGTGATGCAGGTCAAAGATTTTTTTTTTTTTATAGATGCAATGCTCCAGCTAAGGATGAACTCCAAGTCCATCCTTAGATTGACTGACAAGTTATAAAAAAATAAAAGTGAAAAGACCATTTAGTCAGTTAAGCCAAAAAAATAATTGCAATTCGGAACAACTTCCCAGAAAGTTGGAAACTGTGTTAAACTATTATGTGTTATTCTATGCCAAGTTTTTTTCCTTGCAGGAAGAGAGCTCTGGCCTTTATCTTGAAAAATGGTGCCAAAACTGAGTTTTTTGTTTCCTGTCAGTTTTAGCTAAGTAGGTAACAAATACTCTTAGAAAGAAAATTCTCTACAAGAGTGGTCCTTGGCATGTTCTATGTAGGGTTACAGTAACAATTTCATAGTAAAAGGGTCTGAATATAATTTTCATTCATTTCTAGTGTAGGTAAATTATGTTTTTGGTACATTAAAAATTTTATTTGCTTGTTTTGTTTTAGGTACCACACATATGGTTATCAGAAAGTCTGTAATGATAAGATGGTAATATTAGTAAATCGATGAATGTTTTCTATTTTTCAAGACTGGACAGCAGTTTGACAATTAGTCCGGAATTTCAGCAAATAATAATTATGTTGTTTTAGTTTAGTTATATTACTCTAATTTATAAATATATTTGTGCCATTTGAAATGGATTCGGATATGTGCTTTATTTGTGAAGTGTGTCAAATTATAATACTGAAATTGAAGAAAGAGGACTTAGGCATTACGACAGTCAAGTGAAAAAAAAAAAAAAGGTGACACTCAAATAACTCACCTTGAAAGACTAATAAGTGTTTCTGAGCATGCAAGATGTCAAAAGTCATACACTAGGGAACAAAACATTATTGCAGCAGTTAAAGAGGAAAAACAATCCTCCTTAGGAGTCAGTGTTCAAAGGTCATAACAATTTGTTCGGTTTCAAAATGCACTACTTACTTTGTTGGAAAGGTAGCTTTGGATTTTTTTTTAAATGGAACTCAAGAGACCAATCAATAAATATGATAAGAAGTCATGAAATTAAAACTCTGTACTGTACTTTAAAAACAGGGTTCTCGAGACTGTGAAAAAGATTGAAAGATCAACACGGCTTATAATTGGCACTGCAAATTAGCAATGTGTCAGACTTAGTCACAGCAAAAGGAAGGTATCACAGATGTATACCCGGATCTGCCACAACTGAACCACTGAGATGAAGGACAGGCGACAGGTCTTGAACAAATTTACCAGCAATCTTAGAGACTTTCTTCCAGATATGAGGGAGATGGGTGTCTACAGTAAGAGTCGAGATGTAGCATCTCCAACTACCACATTTAACTGTACGGATGGACTTATGGGCCACCACACTCGCCATCCGAAAAAAAAAAAAAAAAAAAGATTCATACGTATTCCGGCGATGGTGCCTTTTCAAGGCTGCACACTTGAAGCATATAGCTCAGGCACATTCTGAATTCCACCAAGGAGTACACTTCTGCATACCATGAGAGGCATAGCAACGGACAGCAGAGAGCAGCACCTAAAGTATTAAGGCAGCATGAAGGAGGGAGCATGGGAGACATCAGATGGGAAGGAAAGAGCAGCATGGAGAGTGAAAAGATTCCAGTTTGCCCTATCAAACTGCCACCAAGGGGGGAAAAAAAATGGCACACGAAGAAAATGATAGAGAAATGATCACTGTTATGGGGGCTATTAAGGACTCTTTATGTCAGGTTTATATAAAAGGAAGAGGACCAGAGAAAGATTTATGCAGGAAAATGTATGAGTGTGATTCAACGTGAGTCAGCCCTCTGGAATTCAGGAGAGACAAAGGAGAAGAGATGATAAAAGGATCTAGAAGATGGCCTCGAATATTTTCAAGGACATCGCTCCAGAGTGTGTTGACAGTTAAAATCACCTATAAAAAGCACAGGCACCAGCAATGGCTCTAAAATGTCCTTGAGATCAGGAAGAGAGATCAGTAAGAGAAATTTGGAACATGTGGAGGGAAATAAATGGAACAGATGGTTAACCATTCATTTACAAAGATACCAGTGACAGTAGATGGAACATTTCAACTGTAAAAGAAGGGGAAACAAAAGGAACATCACTCCAGATCAAGAAAGTAGTAGAGTTAGGGGTATCAGAAGCAGCCAGAGGGAAGTAGAAGGGAGTAACTGTGAATCTATCAGGATGAGTGCTACGCATCTGTTCCTGGAAACAAATGCAAAGCAGTGTAAACTGCAAGATCAAAAGCTGCAGCTCACTGAAATTGGCATAAAAGCCATAGATATTCCTTTAAAGAACATAGTGAAGGACAGCTATGACAAAATAAAATAAAAATACAAAGTAAAGGGCACAAAACTAGGCAAGATCAGCATCAGAGAAATCAGGGTTCGGGGTATAGGCAAAGTCAGTAGAAATAGTTGGGCTGAGACTCGTGGTAAGGAGTGCAGGCGAGTTAACAGGGGTCTGGTGAGGAAGGAAATGCCGGGGAAGGGCAGTCAAGAGTGTCAGGCCGAGTAAGGGCAGAAATGACGGCATACTCCAGATCAGAGGCCAGTATCAGAGGAAGAAACAAGGGCAATGGGAACTACTATAGTGATATCAGAAGGCTCAGCTGGGAGGAGGTGCAAGAAAAGGAACAGAAGGGTGAGTTTCTGTTTCTCTAGTTTCTAATCAGATTTCTAATAATATAATCCAATCATAATTTGGATTATTTCATTATTTCATCTGTATTTTATTAATGGCTACATTTTATTTACCCAGTGGTTTCTTGACAACAAGTTCCAGTACATCACTAATTCCTTCCTAAGCCTTCAAACTCCATATACAAATTTATGAGGAAATGATGAAAGTGAGTATTAAATATTAACAGGAATTGCTATTAGTATTTTGGTTAAAAAATTAATAAAGTCAGTCTTTATTATGCCTCCAAGTCATACAAACATGAACATCCTAGGTCCACTTGCACCAAGAAATTCTTTTAAAATATAACACTATATTGGTTTTCGGTGAAAGCACGCAATAAATTACACTAATTTTTACACCTACATTCAATTACAGTAATTGGTATGATACTCATAAATGATTTGGAGAAGTAAATTTGTCCTTGACAAAAGTCGATACCTGATTGACTGACGAGCTTTCATGATCAAACTTATTAGGTACGTACAAGAAATAAACTACAACAACGTAAGCTGTAGCAGTGTACCCATGAAGATTCCCAAGATTAAGAAACTTAAGCCATATCCTGCACTTTTTCAAGTTTTTTGTCTAAATTAACAACAAATTTAATTATTTTTTGGATTATAATATTCAATCTGGCATAATTAAGCAAATAAGGCTTAAATATTAGAACTAAATTTTATAAACAGTTGTGAAACACATTTCTGTTCATTTTAAACTTAACTAAATAAAGTTATTCTGCAAATATTATTCCTCCAAGCAGTGGGATCTCACGAAGGCTCGAGCAGTTTCAAAATGTGTCGCTCCATGATAACTTGTACTGTTGAAAAGAAAAAATGGAGTATTAAGAAAAGTACACTGATTAGTACTTAAGGTTTACAAGAAATTAATAATTTACTGAAATAACATACATATTTCCCACACATTTAAAAGATATTTAAATATGAGTTTTATGTATGTATAAATGTATAATCTATGTATTAAACAATCAAATGATCCCACATCTATTATGTTACCTAGTAATGCTCTGTAGATTAACCACTATTTCCAAACCAGTATTTACCTACATCTTTCCTGAATCTAAACATACAATTTATAGTCATTGTATCAAAATATATATATAAACCTTATGTTTAAGGTTTAAATATGTTTATATATCCCTTTTGTTATAACCCTTCACCCATTTGTATACTGTACTTCAATTGTCACCCTTTACTCTTCACCTTTCTGGAGAATGTAAATCGAGTTTTCTTAATCTCTTCACAAGAAAGGTTTGTAGAGATTCTAATTCCGGGGATTAACTCTGTCATCCTTCTCTGTAATCATTCAAAAGAATTTTTCCATTCTATAGTACAGAGACCAGAACTGAACTGCACAATTTAAATGAGAACTAAGGCAAGATAAAGATGAAGAATAACAATACCAACAATACCCGTGCAACCTTGATTCTGCTAAATATATGGGACCATCCCCAATTCATTGAAAGGATTGACTGCAACTGGAGATGCCTTCAGTAGGCCTTTGTGAGATTTAATATATTTTTTTTTAAGACAAGATAAATACATGGCTTCATCTGTTTCTTTCTTCTATTGTTACTGCCTTTTACAAAAATCATTAAAAATGTACATAACTGGAGCATTTTAAAGAGTTACCAATCATACACTAATATTTTCCCACCCTCTTATTTCACTGAGCAAAATTTAAGTTTCAACCTATTATATGCGGGACAACCACCAGGAAAACCCGTCACTGACGAGAATTCACCACAACTAGCACATTTCCCATGCCCCTGCCTCAAAACCTTCTTTTCAAAGGAAAATGGGCCTATATTTTAGTGAATGAAATGCATCAATTTAAATAGAAAAACCAAAGAATTTAATTTTAAATATGCTCAATAGCTTTCCAAAAGATCCAACTCTTTTTTTTTTTTTTCAAATGTTGTTTACATCTACGAAATTTATTAAAAACATGACAAGCCATGTTAAGAGTTACTACTCATACCCTAATACTGTATTGTATTGTCGATGCTCCATGTGCTAACTTCACCAAGGGAAATTGTAATTTCAATCTAACATATGATGGATAACTTTCCCATGAGTCTACTTCCTAAGCAAATCCAAACATTCCCCACTCTCCTTAATCTCCAGACACTTATTCTGCAAAGTGGCCGAGTAAATCTGGTCTGGAAAGTGTAATTACCTAAGTGTAGTTACAAGATGAGAGGTACGCTCATGTGTGTTACAACTGGAGATTCGCCAAAGAGAGGTTTATAGAACTGAGGCTCTACTGTAGCTGTTTATTGTTAATGCTTCAAGGAATAAATCACAGTATTCTATTTGCTATATTCTGAACCTTTACGCATTTATTTTTTGGCTTAAGATCCCTGGTAATCATGACTCCTGGATCCTCTTTGTATTCAGATGTCACAATTTCAACTATTTAACCAACATCTGTCGACTATCATCATTACCTAGTCTTTGATCACAATATTTTTCATCATTAAACTTCACGTGCCACTTTTTTCATCCACTTTAATACCTATCTACATGTCTTACAGTGATTTTGTCTTCTGATTTTATTTCTCATTTTTTTTTATATCTGCAAATATTGCTGTTTAATCTTGTAAATAAATAATTAATGTATATGGCAAACAATAGAGTTCCTAGGACAGAGCTCTGCAGCACTCTACTTATAACAGCTTCCTACTATTCAGCAATGATAGTAATACTATAATCTAGTGTTAAATGCAAAGAAGAGTATCTTGGGTAGTCTTTATAGGTTGCAGATGCAATAGCTTTGGTACCACAAACATCCTACAACCTTATTAGTCTTCTGGACTTCCAAAGTTCTGCCTAACACCAAAATCTGGTGTATTCGGGATCAGAGATCAACTAAAAAAAAGTAAAACTGCCAAGAAAGTACATGCAAAACAAAACAAACCAGATATCTTGATTAAAGAATTTGTTGATATTGGTTTCCATCTCTATTCTGGTAGCTAATAATCCCACCAGGTAGTAGCTCAGGTTACCCAAGGGTTCATCCTGCCTACCTCTTCACTGGTGTGCAGCCCCCCAAGGTACGCTGGATCTCCACAAGAAAAAGTTGGGTATGGGGAACTACTTAAGACTGCCCAGAATATGACATTTCATTACACTAGATGTTTATCTTTGGGCTGGCCCTCAGTAGCTAACTGACACATACTCTCAATAATGCCTTGTAGAAGTAACCTCTCTGGGATGAAAGATTAATTAAGGACATTATAAAAGCAGAGGGACTGCCCAAAAGATGAGAAGACCAGAAACACATGGCCCAGGAAAGGAAAAGGTCTGGAACTGGAAAGGCTTTCAAGAGCCACAAAGACCCATTGAGCATTTACATCATCCAACAGGTATATAGCAGCCAATACCTGGACAGCACGTGCACATAGATACACATCACGCTGGCTGAACCAAACAACCTGACTGATAAGTAGATGAGTAAATGACTGAGCAGGTCTTTGAGACCTGCTCAAAGATTGCTAGATCTCAAAGATTCTCTAGATCCCAAGGAGAATGGGGAGCATACTGGAGTGAAAATTACTAAGCCAATTCATTGAGGGAATCCAAAACAGCCAGCCAGCAGGCACAATGAACAGCATACAAGTCTGTCACCACATTCCTCAGGAGTGGTGGGAACAGCTTGGGAGACAGCCTCTGTGGCTGCAGCAGCAGTCCACAAGGCAAAAGATGAGGGGAAAGAGGATGAGGTTGAGAGGAGAAAAAAAAGCATGAAGTATATATATATATATATACTTTGGATTCTGTGATCATTAGAATTCCTTTAAAGTTGATTTCAGTGCCCAGCAAATTATGAATTTTTAACTTTTATTACCTTTTCAAGCACTGAAGGGAAGGGCTTCACAAAATTAATGCTCAAGGATTATTTTTCTAAAAGCAAGAACACTGTTTTACTGTCTAAATCATTCTGAAACCTCAAGAACTCGACCTAACTCCTCTGATGAAATAAGTCTAAAATTGATCAGAGACTATCTGAATAAATTAATCCATACTCTGACCTTGGCATCATTCCAAGATCCTAGAGCTGGAGTAGCACATCATATCTTGCCAAGAACCTAAATTTCACTTTTATTACCGTATTTTGCAATATTTTCATGTTTAGCTAGAAAGTTTCGAGAGCGAGAAAGTTTGACCGCTTAGCAACTGACTAACCCACGTCGGTTCTGAGGTACTTGGCGAGTTGGTAACAACTTCCAATTACAACAGCTGAGAAAACATTTTTATTAAATAAGAGTACTAAAATGGATATCATTATGAGTAAGATGGAGGAAGGCTGGTTGTATTATTTTTGTTAAAGATGCAGCTACTTGGAGCAAAGTACCAAGTAGCACAGTCTATGGTGAGCCTGTAGTGGACTTGGATGGTTGTAATAACAACAATGCAAGCTATAAATATCATGCCTTGTTTACTCCCTCTTGTGACAGCAATGCTGAATGCAGAAGAGCCAGCAACATTCGTAGCTGTGATGTCAGCTCCGTGCTCTAATAACTCATTTGCACAATGTGAATTGTCATTATGTGCTGCATACATTAAAGCAGAATTTCCCATCTGAAATGTAGAAAATCATTATGAGCATTATGACATCTTAAGAAACAGTATTATACAAAATTGTTTAGATAATTACATTTTATTTTTTAAACTTTCATTGATCAGTAGCACAGAGCTATACTGTACTTACATGGTCAATATGGTTTGGATCAGCACCATAGCTGATTAATAGTTTAATTATTTCATGATGACCATTGGTAGCAGCAAGGAGAACAGCTGTTTCTCCATCTTCTCCCTGTGATTAAAACAAAAATTTATTAGGTAAAACCATCAATCATCTGTCTCTTCATGAAAGTTATTGGTGCTCAAAGTGGAATAAGAAAAATAGCTTTATTAACATTTTGGTAAGCCTATGACATGAATTGAAAGAAAATTTTATCCATAAAAGGATATAATCTAGTCTGCAGATGCAATACTGTTGAGATATTAACCAAAATATGTTGGTGTCCAAAGCTTTGTTAACTGCTAAAAGATTGGCAGTTAACAATGGTTGTCAGCCATTAAGTTATATCACTCAGTTTTTAACACTTTTGCCGTGACATTTTATTTCGGGCACCATACTTCTCTTATAGGTAAGGAGCCTAATATGTTACCTATAGATATAAATGCTAGGTAAGATCACTTTAAACCTGACACGTGTCATACTGAGAGTGGGTTAGATATCAATAGATCATGTGGGTTGCCTAGATTAACCTAACTTGCCTAAGTTAGGCAAAACCACTTCAGATTTGATACTTGTCTAACCATGAACTGATGGGGTTAAAATATTTTTTTTTTATTAAGAAATTACCAAAACTAAAAAACAAATTCTGGCAGTGGATCCAAGACAGTGTCGATCTGCACTCCCATAAGTGGCTGTGGAATCCTAACATTGAAATATTTTTTTAGTATCTAATGTTTATGGAACTGAAATTCAGTCCCAGAAGTATGTTAAGGATATTTATGACCAGGTCAATACCTCTCTCTCCTGAGTATAATTCTGGGAGCTCGCCAGCATAGGCTCGACAGAGAGAGGCACATTTTCGATGATTATTGCAACTCATTTAAAAGTACAGTATATACCCTCAATGACAGTGGTTCTCAAACTTTTTGAAAATGGCCTAATTTTCTAATACTCTAAAATCATTCAGCTTCACCTCTAATGTCAGACCAAAGAACTGCCCAAGTTGATTCAGTTTTGTCTGAATGGTGTATACTCTGGGCTCCATTTAGCTGAAACAAATAAACTGATTTCTCCATCCCTATGCAAGTTGCAGACATTGAGATTGCTACTTGCATGTTCCTGGGGCCCTAGAAAGATTTCCCACTCCTGAGGTTTCCTTTGAGAATTTTTGGGTTTCAGTTCTTTGGAGGTCTGAGGACCCTTGTTTAGAAATCTTTGCTGATGCATTTAATGCAGGCTGGGGCTTTGTCTCATTTTCACCCTGTCAGTTAAGGGTGCTGGTGTCTGACATTGTTAATATCTCATACAAACATTCAGGAATTTTTGCAGCTTAGATTGAGGTCCAGCTAATCTTTCACACAGGGCTCAGCTCTGCATGTCAATTTCAACAGCGTTTCAGTTGTGTATTATGTCAACGAGGAAGGACTGTGATACATCAGCATTCCTCTAGTATATCAGTGTGTCCTGTGACACTACCAGCTCCCTTTTTATGTGAGTCCATTCCTCAATTGGAATGCTTTTTGGTGGACACACAGGGGGTAAATTAAATACAGTACTATATTTATGTCCTCCAATACAGATGCTTAAAGCAGTCATTACACACAGAGATCACACTAACATGATGCATCAAATGAACAAATCCACAAGGATTTGCTTAAAACAGTCCTTTAGAAGCTGAAAAGCTTTGTAGGGTGCACGTTTTGTTTGTCTCACTTGTGGCCAATTTATGGCTGGTTCAGAACCATGTCCCAGCTCTGTTCTTGGAGTGTTCCAACCCAGACTCCTTTCCTGCCCTTTTAATAGAGATCTGGTAGGCAGAACCGATTCTTTGTTCATAGAGATTTATTATAAGGTTTGGATTTTGAGGGTGCACTGTACATATGCACATGGCACTGAATAATCTTACCAGCTCCAGTATTTTGTCTCAGACCTAAATTGAAACATAATAAAATAAGACACATACCTCCATATCAACTTTAGCTCTGTTCTGAATGAGTAGCTTCACAGTTGGCAGCTGACCATAATATGCTGCCCACATAATTGGTGAAAAACCATTGCTATCCAATTCATCTACGTCAATATCTGTAAAATATAACATATATCACACAAGAGAATCTGCCTAGAACATTATTAATGTAGAGAAGAAATAAATTTGATAATCTACACAGAGAATTAAATAACTGAACAAGTATCTACAAAAACACCATTAAACATACAATGTTCATTATACATTCCTCTCTGTCTTCAAATGACAGTATAACTATACTGTACGCATCAAAATACCGGACACTTCCATACAGGTCTGAAACAAAGATTGTGTGGAATATTAACATCTAAAATTCAAGATATAAAATTATACAGTAAAAATCAGGCACTGAATAATATAAAAACACTTTTCTGAATGCTGCTCCCAAAAGTAAATCCTGCCGTGTCCATTGGACAGGAACGAGCAATCGGAGTGGATGACTTACCACACCTGGAGTATATTTAGAGTCGATTCTGAGAGATCATTTACTCACAGGGTCCAGCTCGTCTTGTGATAACTTTATCTAAAAGACAGATGCTTAGAGCAGCCCGCAGGTGCCTAAGTATCCAATGCAACTTGACTGGTCAGGCACCTCCTGCAGGGTTGTTCTAGCAAGTTCATAAAGATGCTAGGAAGTTGCTGGGGGTAACTCTTCTAGTGTAGAATGATTAAGAGCACATCATTAATGACAATCAGTCCTATAAAGCCATCCTCTTGACATCACAGGTGATTGCTATGGGATCATTCTAATCATTCTAGTTTTACGCTTATGAACAACAACACAAGGGGCCATGATGAGGGTTTGAACCCACGCCCGGGATGTTCCCAGCTGCGCCTTAGTCAACTATGACACAACATGCTTAAAAGAATTACAACTGGAGTACTACTGCCCTCACTAAAATCCTGAAGCTTCTCTGAAGCCCAATCGGGTTTTCACACAATTTCCCCATGCACTCGAGCTCTGTCAACCAAATGTTCTACCTCTGTGCCCTTACTTCAATACACATAGAAATCACAATAGTGTGATATATCAAATGAACAAATCCACACGGGCCATGATGAAGGTTTGAACCTACGCACGGGATGTTCCCAGCTGCGCCTTAATCAACTGTGCCACTTTGACTAAGGGCATACGAGGTAGATTGAAGTAAGGGCGTAGAAAAACATACTGTGCGTAGGTTCGAACCCTCATCACGGCCCTTGTGGAGTTGTTCATTTGATATACAGTATCTAGCTATTATGATTTCTGGGTGTATTCATTTAGCTTGTTTGGAAACCTTGGCCGACTGCACACAAACATCTTAAGGTCTTCACACCAAACACCTCTCACATACCTTTTCATGCCAAAAGAGCCATTTCTGAGCACAAAAAAGGGAACGAAATTTTACATATTACAGTACTATACTTTAAGGCCTAATTTTCAAGCTGTTCATACTGCTACTCCCTAAAGTAAGATTAACTCAGAAGCAAAGGAAATTAAATCAAATCAAATGCTCACCCTGTTAAAGAATGATGCCAGAAGAAAGCTGTCGGCCCCAGATGATGCTACCAAGAAATTGAGAGTAGAGCACAAGAGCACAAATAAACGCCTGTAGAAAGTGTAGATCAAAAGGAAGAAAACTTACTCAAAACCACACATCAGTAGCCCAAGTGGGTACACACACAGAGATCACAATAACGTGATTCATTGTTCCCAAGTGGGTACTCTCAATGGAGATACTATTTTTATGACCAAATCACACATCAGAAGATGGAGAAACAACATTTCTATGACCTAGAGAGAGAGGACAACTGAGCTCAGAAATAAGCCTCTGCAAAGACCAATGTGCACCTCATAGTGATACAGAGAGGATTCATGAAGCATGTGAATGAGAAGGCTTTGTGACTCAACATCACAGAGCTCAGTATACCCATGCACTAAGAACTTAAAATGTAAAGATCGGATCAAAAGTTTGAACACCAGGGCTGTAAATGTGAGGGATATGAATGAAATTATGTGCTTGCAAAGAGAGAAAACGTTTTTAGAACCCATGTCAGTAATCCAACTAGAGAGATGAGAGACTTCATTCCATAAATTCCAGTTGATACTTAAGGCATCCATTGCATAATCATTGCAGTCATGGAAAGAAGCCACAAACTCACTACTTAAATTCAACAAAGACCTAGAGAAATCTATAAGTGCCAAACATGGTTGTAAAACTACTGCAATGCTGTACCATCTAGCCGCTGATTCATAACACACTGAATGAACCTGGACAGGCCATTTGAGATTTATATAGAGTACCTCTTCTGTAAAAAAACCATTCTCAAGACTCATCTAGTTTGTGGAACGGAAAAGTGAAATGAGTTACATTCTAGAAGCCGAGTGATAATCCTTTGATGGTGAACCAAACCGAGGAAGAAAGGAAAAATGTACACATAAGCACACAGTTTAACATGAAAAATGTCCTCTGGAATGGGAACCTATACACAAGAGGAATCAAAAGGTAAACAGGTAGCATCACATCCATAACCAAACAACAGGATGGGCCTGCCTCTGAATACTGTATAAGCAAAAGTGGCGTCCATAGAGGAAACAAAAAGTTAATCCAATCTTCTGGAGAAGAAACTGAAGGAGAAACCCACCCTAAACACAACAGAAAAAAAACACAGGAGGCAATTAAGAGGCATTTCAAATCCAAATAATTCCATCCAGTTTCCATACATTCTGCACCCAACAGAGGTTTGCGTGCTACACAGTGTTTTGCAATAAGCCAAACACTGACACAAATCGTGGTTTCTCCAGACCACTACCAGAGCATCAGGTCCTCCACTCCTGAGTACAAATCTGAAGAAAAGGCAAGGTGGTGGAGGCCAAAACCGTCAGTAGTTTCAAAGTGTTATATGACAGAGTGCTGGGGAGACGGGACACCACGAGCGTAGCTCTCATCCTGTAATTACACTTAGCTAACTACACAAAGAGGCTGCCTGTCCCTGACAAAATGAATTATCACTGTTGTGTACAATCAGCAGTGAATCAAGAGAATATCCCAGTAAATTTCCCAAGGAGGAAAACCAAGTCAAACTTATTTAAAAATCTGGTCTTCATCAGCTGATTTACATGGGGAAGACAGGATGTAAGAAATATTGGGTGATATGACCTGAAGGTGTGGTACTGCCACCTTGTGGCAGTACCACACCTTCAGGGCCTTCAGTCAGTTGAATTAAACTATTGGTGGTCACCTGCAATGTCAAGGGGAAGGTCAGTAGTGCTTTGACTTTCATGAATGAGCCATTATTGACCATTCTATACTGGAAGGATTTCTCCAGTGACTTCATATCACCTTCATGACTGCAGGGATGGCTTGAATGTATCCCCTGTGGCTCTAGTTAAGCGTGTTGTGTGTTCCTGTTCAATGGACGCAGTGAAACTTGCTTTAGTGAGCAAATGAATGAGATGTACAATAATTTTCACCTCTTAAATCGTCTGCAGACAGCTCTCCCATGGCTGCCCTATTGTGAAGTGTAAAGTCATCTGGTTCAGCTTGAGTGGTCTGGGTTTGAATATTTCCCCGCTGAAGGTTTGTCAATACAGTCACAGGCTGAAAACAAGAAATAAATAAATGTAAAACTAACATGCTAAATATTTAAGTTATTTTAAGCAATGAAATCCATGTCCAACAGCTAAAATAAGCACAAATATTGTGAAAACACAGGGGGGTTGCTCATGTAATAATATACAACTGGTCACCAACAACTTACTGCTATTTTGCTTGGCAGAAAAGCCGAGATATGTGGAGTAGAATTGGACAGGACTGGGATCATGATACTTTTTCGCTAAAAAAATCATATTTCAATACATATAAAGAAACAAAGTTGCGAACAATCCTTATTGATGATGACATTTTGCTGGCAAGGGCTTTATCAGTTCTAACCAAATGTGAAATATTATGTTACAGGCACATTGTCCACTATACCATGTTCTTCATTGGGTGTGTCTCTCTAGGATTGAACCTTCACGTGTATCTTTAAGTGCAATGTTGAATATTCTGTAGTTTACTGTACTTCGAGTCTTATTTGTACTCTGCCCTTGTGAGGTTTGGTTCAGTGATTCTCGAGTTTGTGACTGCTTGCTTTGATCAGTGGGGCACGCCCAAATTTTGTTGGCACTTCAGCCATAATTTATACACTGGTCTCCTGGGGTAACAGCCTTTTGAGTTGGCCCAGTTTATCTTAAGTTCAGTTGCTGCTCTAATATGTGTATCTGTATCACTTGCATCCTCAGTTTAGGTCCCTATAGTTTTTGTTTTTTTTATATATACAAGTTCTTACATTCTTATAAAGTCACCAGCATGCACAGCATTTTGGGAAGGTCCTTAATCTTAATTTTCCCTGGAGTACAGCCTGCCAAACTGTTTAACAACCAGGTACCCATTCACTACTGTAGTGAACTGTAGGTACTCTATATTGCAATGGACCTTTAAGTTTGATGTACATTTTTCTTCAAGGTTTTTGCAGGCACATAACCTTCGCCCAAATCAAGAGCTGCCAAACCATGAATTTAAATAAATGTGAGCATAGCAATTACTTGTCATAAGCTCAAATTAAATCCAACACTAAAATATTAAATTTATAAAACGAATAACGTCAACAGTATACACTATAATTTAAAATGCTCAAAAATAAAAGATATCACATCATCAGTAGAAAGCTAAATAATCATTTAAACCAGACAAACTGAAAGATTTATCTTTCAGTATTTTAAAAGATCCAAGTACCCTGTAAGGCGAAAAAGCTGATCTACGGGTGTGTGAATCCCACAGGTCTATGTCATCACCAGTGTCATCTTCTAAATCCTCTTCCTTTACCACTAGATGACCACCATCATCATCGGATGAAGAACCCATTTCTGAAAAAGTAACAAAAATATAATACAGTGACACCTCAGCTTACGAATGCCCCTATTTATGAACTTTTTGGGTTACAAGCCCAATTTCTTCGTAAAATTTGAATCGGGTTATGAGCTTTGCCTTGAGTAATATAGTTTGTTGACATGCATATGGGCGACCTAGCCCGTGGTTCCTGGTGGCACGGTCGTCCGCGATTCAGTTTACTAGTGCCTCCTGCTTAGTGACGATCGTGCTTGAATTCTTTGTAAAGAATTTCATTGTTTTTCAACTTTTTGGGGTTTTGAACATAAACAAAATTATTATATTTCACGCCATGCGTCCCAAGAAAGTCAGTGGTAAGGTTCAACCTAAGAAAACACATGTGAGGATGACCATAGAGTAAAAACGAGATCATTCGTAAACATGAAAATTGTTTCAAACAAACATGGATTGTTGAACTAGCTAGACAGTACAACAAATCCATGTCAACGATATGCACTGTAATTGCTAAAAAGAAGGACATTATGAGTGCTAAATTGGCAAAAGGTGTATCAATAATTACAATGTGCAGGAATATCCCTTAAAAAAAAAAAGATGTTGAAAAGTTTTTATTAATTTGGATACACAACAAAAAGTTAGTAGGTGATAGCATTTCAGAGGGCATCATTTGTGAAAAAGCAAGGCTATTGCATGAAGATCTTATAAAAAAAACCTAGAATGGGTGATGCAGATACGAAAGAGTTTAAGGCAAGCAGGTGATGGTTGGAAAAATTTAGAAAAAGAAGTGGCATTCATAGTGTTGTGAGAGTTGTGTGTTGTGAAGTGATGGAGGAACACAGCGAAGAACTCCTAGCCCTTCACAAAGAGCAGCAACAAGAGGCAGCTGAGGAAATTTCTGCAGGGAATGAGGAGGCAGTACACAATGTCCCTTCCTCAACAATTAAGAAGTGGTGTAGACTATAGGAAGAAATGCAAAGTTTTGTTGAAACAACTCACCCAGAGCAAGCTGCAGTAGGCCGTTGCCTTAACCTTTTTAATGACACTGATGCCTTACTACAGACAAGTGTTAAGACGAAGAAAAAAACAAGTCTCTATGGAAAGGTACTTAGTGAGAAAAAGAAGCAGCAAACCACAAGCAGGTTCTAGTGGTATGAAGGCAAAACGTAGGAGAGAGAGTGCCCCAGAGAAGTCATCACTGCTTGATGTTATAAAGGGGACTTCCCTTCCAAACACTAACACCTCTCCTCCTCCCACCCCTTCTCACCGTCTTCCATACGCCAACAAGAGTCGTTAATAGAGGTAAGCTATAACTTGCAGATACTATCTTACTAAACATTTGTGTGAATTAGGTATGAAATGTATTTTGAAGTTATATTTTTGGGAGTGTGGAACGGATTAATTCAGTTTACATTACTGTATTTCTTATGGGAAAATTCGTTTCGGGTTGTGAATTTTTGGGTTATGAACCATCTCTGGGAATGGATTAAATTCGTAAACACTGTACACACTACATAATTCAAGTTTAAAACCAGACTCACACAATGACCAGACCTGCTTGGAGGAGCTTCAGCTCGAGATAGAGATCTTCCTGACAAGGAACATGCAGATGTGAATATGTTTGAGTATGTTAGTGGTATTCTAACAGCAGTCAAATAATACAGGAGAAAAAAAAAAAAGTTGTAAAAATCTGTGATATTAGTACTGTATAAAAAGAGTTGAAATTGTTTAGCAAACAGTCAAGATAGCAGCCATCTTTGTTAACAATAGAGTAGTCAGCAGTTGGCTTCTCTGAGCCAGCCTCATTGAAATACCTGTCATGGAATTAAAATGGAAGCATTGCACGATGGAAGGAGAAAAACAATTGAAGAATGAAATCACATTTCAGGGTTTCAACACTGAGAAATAATATACAGTACTGTATAATAAATCTCATAAGTTCCAGAAGTTAGAAGATAAGCAAGAGAAAGCTACAAAAATGCAGGCAAGGTTTAAAACTAGAATTGCAAGTTTGGAGTCAATGAATGATGTTATCTTATTGATGTCACTTATTTTGGTCAGAGTGATGTCCAGAAAGTGAGCTATGACATGATGACCAGGTGGTCGCCCATGCTGGAGACTTCTGGAGGCATTCGTGCAGGAGAATCAACACGCACGAGTTGCCACCAATATTGAGATGTCCATTTTTGCACTATTTGTAATGATTTTCATTTTTTTATGACATATCCTATGAACATTGTTTATTGTCCCAATAATACACACATTCAATTAACAACTTATTTACACACTATACACCATCACAGACTATATGCAGCACTATAAACACACTTAATACTGCAAGAGTGTGTGATAATCACTAAAGCAGTCAATGGTGCACAAGGCAGCTTTGCACTCCATGATGGTAGGGATGAGGGCATCTGATCTCCTTTTAATTGACTTGAACTTGAATATCAATTGTTTCTTAGCCCATTTTAAGCAAGGTGAAAATAGTGTTGAAAGTGAAGCATTGTAGTGAGAGAATTAATATTATGTACATCAATTTAATTTCAGGAGCAGGCATTTTACTGAAAAAGTGGAAAAAGATAAATTTTTGAGTGTCTGGTATCTACTCTTTTTTTTCTCTTATATATTATACCAATTCTTTTCACAAATTCATTCTGCATGTACTTTTTAAGGAACTTAACCCTCATGCATATCGAGGAGTGACAGTATTTGATTCATGGAAATATGAGCTTGTTTGATATTGCAAAACTTAGTGTATTGTTTCTGATATTCCCTTATGCCTGGAAATAATAAATGTATATAGATATTTTAGTGCAGCTAGGCTTACTTATTTTCAAGATACCATTCAAGACATTCCCATTCATGACATGCTAAAAGGATTCTAAAATCTATCACCATGGAGTAACATAATCTAATATCAAATGGGACCCTCTGAGCACCATTAGGAATAGGTTTTGAAACTTGCAAGCATCTAAACAATGTTTTCTAGATATTGCAACATCATTACAAGCTAAAAAATCACAAAACCAAAAGGTTTTATGATATTTTGCCTACCATGAACACTAAATAACATAAAATAGGCTATGGCATATATTAAATCTTGTTAAAAGGTTATGTTGTCTTCTCTGATGCTAAGCTGCCTGTATGTTATTCAGTGTTCAGAATAAGTAGACAAGTTTGATAACAATCCTAGCTTATCCAATACAGTATTTTGTCTGTTCCATGTCGTGTAGCATCACTTAATTTGTAGCCACCTAACTACATGATTTACTTTTTTCACTACATTTGGCTGAAAAACAATTCAAGCTATTTTGTTCACATATATAATTTCATGACATTGGTTATAAAGCATGACAACCCAAAAATTCGGTTGGTAGTTCATATGTGTACAGTTTATGAGCATCTAAACAGTAAATACTATATTGGCACAATACTGCACAATTTTTAATTGGTTTCTATAAATGTTGGGAGATCAATGACAACTGAAAGTTCTTTGTTGTTGCCTCTCAAGGCTGAGAATCCAAAGAATAAAGTGTATTCTCTTTGGATTTATTCCAGATTTACTATGTATACATTTACCAGAAGCATTTGAGAGATGTAGTAATGGTTCAGCAGGGGATGCCGGCTGCTGTTCTCTCCCTTCTTGATCACTGCACCATTGACGATAATTGAAAGTTGTCATTTTATTCCTCACAAAATCTGGGCGTGATCCTTTGACAACCGGATGCTCACACTGTTTAACCCTGAGATTATCGTACACAATTACAGTATTTAATAATATGAAGATGTTTCATGCCAATAAGGCATAAATAACCACATCAGCTAAAATAAGCTTCAAAGTCAAAATTTGTCACATGAATTAAACATTTTCTAGGTGATAATGTAATGACTTCCAACAAACTATTTATTAAAACATTATTAAATTAAAATTAATCTTAATGAATGAAAAAACACAAACTGATAGGTATGGCCCAAAGCTAATGCCACAAATTCAGTCACTTTCACATGCTATTTGTGAATTTTATTATGATCCAGGTTTTGGAGAAAACTGTTTACTTTATTATATTTATTTGCCCACTAATTTACTCAATACTCATCTTATATATTTTTTGTTGTCATCATTGCAACAGACCAATCACATCCTAATTCATTTGTTAGATAATCCATTAATCATGTCTGATTACTGAAACCTATGAACAGAAAATCCAAAGGTTTCAGGTAATCGATATTGAACACATTAAAATTCTAGACAAGCATCAATAAATACGAGGACAAAACCTCATACATAAATAACCCTATACAAATGTTTATTGATATAGTGTGTCCTGTTGCATCTCCTGGAGCAAATCACTACTCCCATAGATTCCAGAAAGGACAGAAAATGTAACAAAGTTGACAAACTTGAAGGGGACAATTAAGATGTCAAGCAAATATGGTGTAGCAGAACTTTCTACCACAGTAGGTAATTATGATCAAGATTCTCAACTCATCTGGTAATTAACATAAAAGATAACATAGGAAATAGACATGGTGAACAAGGACAGTTTTTTTTTAAAGTTAAAGAAATAAGACAAAAGGAAATAGATGAAAGCTAGAAATGTAAATGCATCAGAGAAATGAAAGGAAATACTGGTTACCTGTATGAATGGTCAACATGTGGAAAACAATAAAGGTAGTAGTAGTAGAAGCCACCTTCATCCACAACTTCTAGGTCAGATGTGACAAAGAACTAAAACATCAGTAAAGTTGAAAACAAATGAACTAGTTTTAAGAAGTGAATGTTAGGTAAGTAATTATCAAAAGAAACATCAAGCTGGGAATACTCGCTGTTAGGAGTGCACCAGGGAAGGAAATCATGTTAACAATTTGTTGTGAATAGCTACTCTATAGTTATTCACAATGTTCACTTCATGAAGTGAACCATAATGCATGGGTAAAGCTCTTAAAATGTGACAAGTATCAAAGGAAAACTAGCCCAAAATTTATCTTATTGGCCACCATATTTTAGGATAGTGACAGTGGATGCTATGAGTATACTGAGCTGGCAAGCTCCTCTGATCTAGTTATGTAGGGTGCTGCAACCTGGTGCTGGTGTGCCATAAATTAGTTATGGTATCTCATAGTACTAATTAGCATTCCATGCATAATTTGTTCTCTTTGTTTTCAAGCTAATACCATGGCTTAAACTGAAGAATGACATCTTCTCTGAATGACATTCATTCAAGAAAGAATGAATGAAGAATGACACTTAGAAAAGTGCACTGTGGGTAATAAACAATATATTTGAATACTGGTTCCACATGAACCCATGTGTCTGTATCTGGCCACCTGAACAAAATACATCATCTCCAAATCACTTGAAAATGCCACCTTTGAACATCATTTACTGTGTGAATGAAAATAAAGTAAACATTATTTTTAAGGTTTATTAATTATCTAATTACAGTACTTATAATTATAATTAATATGCAAAAATTACATTGTGATATATCAATGAAAAAATATAATGAGAAAAACTCCTGAACCCTTCAGGATCCCGAGGCTTCAGTGGAAGCCTCGGGATCCTCGAGGGTGCAGTAGTACACCAGGTTGCAATTCTTTTGACCATGTCATGGCATAGTCGACTAGAGTGTGCATCGGGGAACACCTAGCACACAGGTTCGAACCCTCATCATGGTTCCTGTGATTCTCATCGATTCTCATTGATATCACGATAATGTGATTTCTCCGTGTATTGAAAGAGAATATACAGTGGTGGTCAAGGACACTAGAGAGAGATAATTTAATAATCCATCATATAATTTCATATAATTTACTGACCACCTACTAGTAAATAGGTACCCAGGAGTTAGTCAGCTTCTTGTGGGGTTGCATCGTGGGTGGGGTCAGTAATTTGACCCTGAGGGGGGGGGGGAGGAATGTATGTATACCGAGGTCGTCCCAACCTCGGTATAAGCCTAACATGTACTGTATGTATAACATGACTTCCTGTTCACCGACACAATGAGTTATTATTATTATTATTTGGTCAGGTCTACCTTAGCAGGTAAAGAAAATTTCCAGAGATACATATAGCCGAGTCTAAGCCGAGCACGAGTTACAGTTAGGATCTGCTGATTTTATTAGATGATCCGTAGATGTGTGGCTCTTCTTGCAAGAGTATAATGATACTGTAGATGGTATTAGTGGTGTAGATTTCACTTTGCCTGAGATCTATAGGATCTGAGATCAGATTTCTGATTTGATGAAGTTCTTGGTGTATTATTGCTCTCAGACTACATAATGGCAATCCAAGGTTACTGGTTAACCCAAGGTTAATCCAAGGTTCTTTGAAGGCAGATGCTTTGGCTAACTCATCAGCTTTATCATGTATTCGGAGGCCATTGTGAGATGGAATCCACATGAAATGGACTTCATTACCATCATTAATAATTTTCTTGTACTGTATTTAAGTCTAGCTTCAGGCACAAGCTTTTCTTGCCCTTCCAACTATATTGAACGAAGATATGTTTCCTTAGATACTGTCTAGGTTATATTTGATTCGGATATGTAAACATATCCGAAACCGAAATGCTGCGTGTACTAGTGGCTTTACAAGATTGTAAATACTATGCTATGTATTCTCACAAACCCAATGTACCTTCTTGTATATAAATAAATAAATAAATTAAATAAATAAATAAATACTGGTATGGCGAATATGCATTGGACGCAAGTTGAAAATATAACAATCTGTCCCGCAATAAAAATAAACATGTATAAAATGAATTGAGTGTGCAGGTGTCTGCCAGTCACATCTCAAGCCACAGCTTGCCTCCAGCCACGAGTCATAATGTTCACGTTATCTTAGCTGGCACTGCACACCCCTAGACCCAACTATTACCTCAATGACCTCTGTTATAACAAGGTAATACTACTCCTTATTACCTGTTGTGGGCGGTACAGTGGGAGTTAGAGTGGGTGGGCGTTACAGTGGGTGGGCGTTACAGTGGGTGGGCGGTACAGTGGGTGGGCGTCGTAGTGTACCGTCAAGGATTGTTTACCTCCAGCCAGTGTTGCCACCTCACAACAAAAATTTGTACCGTAAATAGGGATAAAAATATATACCATTTGGTACTGTGAAGTGCTTAAAGCATGTTTTTTGTATTAAAATAAATTTTCAACAGTGACCTTTCCTTTTTTTCATACCTACAACTTTACTATTCTCTTACTAGTGGCTTTACAAGATTGTAAATACTATGCTATCTTAGAATTTAGACAAACTCACTTTGTATCACAGCGATTTCATGATGTTAAATTATTGTTTCTGCCTTTGGCTCTCGGGGTACCCGGCAATGCCCTCCTTGTCCGTCTTAATCCTGACAATTTCTTTTGAAGGTCAGATGTAACACGTACGAATGAGGAGTTTAGTTCTTTTTTATGCACCCCATACCCATCTTGTGGGCGGTAGTGGAAAGGGTTACAGAGGCACATAATGGGCTCAGGGACTGAACCCCACAATTCATTTAGCTAAGCAAGTTACAATTTTGATGAGCTAGTTACAAAATTCAGTATAAGTCGTCACATCAACAATGGGTTCGAGATCGACCTCAAGTACAGGTTCTAAATTAAGCAATTGACACGTGTGGAGAGCTAGTGTCACAATTGATATGTTTGTCCTGCACACCGCCCCCCATCCAGTGGGCAGCGGTGGATAGGTTACAATCACTCAGTTACTACCTAATGTTAGCAAACTGGGGATATTTGGCTAAAATTTCTGGTAGCAGATCATTTTGAATTAAATATTGACACATCGTTGGAACATTGGTTATAGAATTGTTTCTGAATTCACGTATCTTTTCGCACTCCATCACATAGTAACGAAGGGTGTGCGAATATTTTTTTTTTTTTTTTTTTTTTTTTTTTTTTTTGAGATATATACAAGAGTTGTTACATTCTTGTACAGCCACTAGTACGCGTAGCGTTTCGGGCAAGTCCTTAATCCTATGGTCCCTGGAATACGATCCCCTGCCGCGAAGAATCGTTTTTTCATCCAAGTACACATTTTACTGTTGCGTTAAACAGAGGCTACAGTTAAGGAATTGCGCCCAGTAAATCCTCCCCGGCCAGGATACGAACCCATGACATAGCGCTCGCGGAACGCCAGGCGAGTGTCTTACCACTACACCACGGAGACTGTAAAGTAAAGACTATTTTGTTGACACAGTTTACATTTGGTCAGGTCTACATCAGCAGATAATGCTGATGTAGACCTGACAAAAAGTAAATTGTGCCAAGAAAATTATTCGAACGAGGAGCAATGGTTTCGAGCTCAACAAGCCAGAATGGAGGACTGAGAAGAGGAGATACTTTTTCACCCATAGGGTTATAAACCCATGGAACCGCCTACCCACCAAAGCCGTAAATGCCAAAACTCTGTTGGATTTTAAAATACAACTAGAACAGATCACCAGGGCAAATGGGGGGACCTTTGACAAGCCGACGACTGCAGGGGGGTTTGGGCAAAATATGACCCATCACCGTTTTCAGTAATTGGCATTTTTTCGGTATAAAAAGTCGTAATTTGAAAATGAAATAAGGTGCAGAGAGGCAGAATTCGGCTCAAAAATCACCCTCAGGAGTCAAATTTCCGACATTTCAGATATTTCGAGAACTGCAGGGGGGGGGGGGGTTGGGCAAAATATGACCCATCGCGGTTTCAGTAATTGGCATATTTTTGGTATAAAAATTCGTAATTTGAAAATGAAAATAGGTGCAGATAGTCAGAATTTGGCTCAAAAATCACATTCAGGACTCAAATTTCTGACATTTCTGATATTTTGAAAACTGCAAGGGGGTTTGGGCAAAATACGACCCATCGCCGTTTTCAGTAATTGGCGTATTTTCGGTATAAAAAGTCGTAATTTGAAAATAAAAATGGGTGCAGAGAGTCAGAACTCGGATCAAAAATCACGCTCAGGAGTTAAATTTCCGGCATTTCAGATATTTTGAAAACTGCAGGGGGGGTTTGGGTAAAATATGACCCATTGCCGTTTTCAGTAATTGGTATATTTCCCGTATAAAAAATCGTAATTTGAAAATGAAAATAGGTGCAGAGAGTCAGAATTCGGCTAAAAAATCACGTTCCGGAGTCAAATTTCCGACATTTCAGATATTTTGAAAACTGCAGGGGGGTTTGGGCAAAATATGACCCATCACCGTTTTCAGTAATTGGCCTATTTCCCGTATAAAAAGTCGTAATTTCAAAATGAAAATAGGTGCAGAGAGTCAGAATTCGGCTCAAAAATCACGCTCAGGAGTCAAATTTCCGACATTTCAGATATTTTGAAAACTGCAGGGGGGGTTTGGGCAAAATATAACCCATCGCCGTTTTCAGTAATTGGCATATTTTCGGGATAAAAAGTTGTAATTTGAAAATGAAAATAGGTGCAGAGAGTCAGAATTCGGCTCAAAAATCACTCTTGGGAGTCTAATTTCCGACATTTCAGATGTTTTGAAAACTGCAGGGGGGTTTGGGCAAAATATGACCCATCGCAGTTTTCAGTAATTGGCATATTTTCGGAATAAAAAGTTGTAATGTGAAAATGAAAATAGGTGCAGAGAGTCAGAATTCAGCTCAAAAATCACGTTCAGGAGTCAAATTTCCGACATTTCAGATATTTTGAAAACTGCAGGGGGGTTTGGGCAAAATATGACCCATCGCCGTTTTCAGTAATTGGCATATCTTTTGGTGAGCCCGTAACTTACCCGGCACAGGAACGGGGCAATTAGCAAGGGCTATGGTGAGCCCGTAGTAGACTTACCTGGCACAGGAGCTGTGCTGTGTTCCAAGTTGTGTTGTTGTTATAGATTCAGCTACTCGGAACAAGTTCCAAGCAGCACGGGCTATGGCGAGCCCGTAACTTACCTGACACAGGAGCGGGGCAAGTAGCGGTCCAAGTTGTATGTTGTTGTTAAAGATTTAGCTACTCAGGACGAAGTGTCCATGTAGCACGGGCTATGGTGAGCCCGTAATTCCAAGTTGTAGTTTGTCGCTTATCATAAAGGGACAGATGCACCTCACTCCCCCATCCTCCTGACAGCCCGGACTGTCGGCCGTGACACCAGCCCTCAGCCCTCCTCCACCGGCCCACAGCCCTCTCTCTCTCGACCCAAAAATCTTTCTCTCTCCTCTTGTCCTCTCCTAATTCCCAAAGAGACTGACGGGTATTTTACCGAAAATACCCTTTTACCGAAGCCCATGTATCCCAGTATTATTTTCTTTTCGCCTGCTTCCTCCCTCTCTCCTCTACCACCCTCTCCTTTTCTCCTTTCCGCCATCTCCTTTCTATCCTTCCCTCCTGACATTTTCCTCTTATTTCCTACCCTCTCTAATCCACCTATCCCCCCTACCTCAGCTGTCTTTATCTCTCGCACGCTTCTTCCACACCCCTTCCCTGTCTATCCCTTTCTCAATCCTTTACCCCCTATTCTTTATCATTTTCAGCTTTCCTTATTAATTCAATAAAGTACATAATTGTTTTCCACAATACATAATATGCATAGAGCAAGTCACAATAGCGTGACTGAACACTAGACGCTCAACCCACACGCCTGAAAATAAAGGGAGTGATGACAGTACGGTCCGTCTTGGACCATCATCAGGTCGTGTACAGAAAGTGATGATTGATGAAGATTAAGCCATCCAAGAGGTGGCATGGGCATGAATAGCCCATAAAGAGTGGTGGTTGTTGTTTTAGATTTAGCTACTCAGAACGAAATGTCCATGTAGCACGGGTTATGGTGAGCCCGTAGTGAACTTACCTGGCACAGGAGCGGGGCTGTAACTTGTACAGGAGAGTGATTGATTGATTGATGAAGATTAAGCCACCCAAAAGGTGGCACGGGCATGAATAGCCCGTAAGTGGTGGCCCTTTTGAGCCATTACCAGTATCATTAGTTGATACTGGAGATCTGTGGAGGTGCGACTGCACCCTGCGTGACGGGAGATGTCTCCCGTGCGGGAGAATGGTGGAGGAAGCCTTTATATAAGATAAAGATATGAGGTGAAAGGCGAGAAGGTAACTAATAGAAATACATCAATGTGCAGAAAGCCTAATTGATAAGACAACGATGCAATAAAGCAAAAGAAAAGGAAAAAACAACAAAAGGGAAAGACAAATCTGAGAGCTTATAGAAGCTCAAGTTAAGTCAGATCACGTTTGTTAAAAAGGCGAGAGAATTTAACTACTTTTCCGTGAAATGGAAGAATCAACAGCAACAAAACTCAGGTTCATGTTGGCTCTATAATATCTCCTCGGCTCCAACAATTGTGTATTAGCGATAAGACCTGCCATGTGGGTATAATGACTTGCTGTTAATATATAACTCTTGAAATAGAACATTCTCTGAAACCGACATTATAATTATAAGGTGTGAAGAACAGATGAAATTGTTTATATAATAATCTAAGCTGAGGTCTGAGAAAGACCTTTTGTGCCCTCTGTAATTCTTTTTGCGCTACCGCTCACAGGATGAGTATGGGTGCACAATAAACTAGCCGCCTCCGGCGGCAACAATCAAAATTATGTTGGGTAATCACAGCCGATTCGCCAAGACGGCGTCTGTGAAGCAGACAAGGGCAGCAATGTAAACTAGATCACTTGAAGTATGTTAATCTGCCGGAGGGCGAGTTTTATATTAAAAAGGTTACAAGTTAAACTGTTCAATTCAGATAAGAATGGAAAGCGCATTACAGTGTTTCTAGTGCTGGAAACAGGTTTGGGATGAAAAAGTTTTTTTTAGCTTGAGAATATTCGCAGAATCAAGAAACTGGGGGTGGCTGATGAGTAGGGCCAGGGGAAAAGAGGGGGACGTGATGAGTGAGTGAGGAAGGTGAGTTAGAGAGATGAATGAATGTCCCTCATCTCACTGCTTGACCTCAAAAAGAGCTTCCTCATCTCCCATTCCTTCATTTACCATTAATTAAAGCCATTCCTGTTCAGGCCTCAAGGGAGCTCAGGGCCCAGCGTACCCCACTGCTCTCATGGTGGCTATTTCTACCAGATGACTGCTCTCTCTCTCTCTCTCTCCTTTCAGCTCCAGCTCGTTTCTTCTCTTTCACGTGAAAGTGCATTCAGAAGCCCTTTTTGTATCATAGGAAACTATTGATAAGGTTTTCCCCTCATTCAGATTCCTCCGTATGTTTTCTATTCTCGTTATTAAAGACATTTTCTGATAACAATTTTGTACTTTATATTCAGGAAAGGTGCTTTATTATGCATATATTTCTTTCTAACGTATTGGGAAATTACATTTATACATATTCAGACAAGAGTTCATTCTAAATATTTATGTATTAAGTTGAGGAATGTTTACAAAAAGTATGTATACAGCTGGCCTGATACATAAACAACCAAGGAATACTTACCTTCGTTGGCTTTCTGAATTAAACACGCTTTCCTCGAGATGAATGGATCAATCGTGCCAACGTTTGCGTCACGTGGTTACTGTACACGTACACTACTCGTACTGATGCAGGTAACTTGAAGGCGTCAGTGATACACCAACACTCGTGTTTATGTCAGGTGCTGAGGATACACACACACACACACACACACACACACACACAGAGCTCGTGTCAGTCATGCACCAACGTCACCCTTGGAACCCTGTACAATACACCATCACCAACGCTCCAAAACACTTTATGGTCTTGCACTTAAAAATGTTCTCATTATGGTTTTGGGTCTCCACGTAATGACCGTAAATAAACCTTTGTAAACAGTAATAATTACATAGATTTATCAGAATATTAGAACCAAGGAAAGGCTTGAGGGGTCATATGACTATGCGAGGCGGTGGACCTACTACAGCACTGCTCCTGTGCCAAGTAAGTCCACTACGGGCTCACCATAGCCCGTGCTACATGGAACTTTTGTTCTGAGTAGCTGAATTTTAAAAACAACAGGTCTTAGCAAATACAGCGGCTTGGCTCCAATGAGTTCCCACCAACAAACACCTAACATATTATTCAACCATTTGCTTCGGTGCTGGACTTGGGGACAACATAATAGACCTCCGGAGGAATATTAAGGCCCCCTTACAATAACTTACTGACCAATCAGCAAGTATACTTTAGTCCAGAATATTGTCCAGGACCACAAGAGACTGTGTATATACACAGGTATATATATATACCGATGGGTGCATCTCAGTGTATAAAACTCTTCTATTCAACAATTCAAACGTCACATTCTTGTGAAGCGGTAAGTTGACCAGACCACACACTAGAAGTTGAAGGGACGACGACATTTCGGTCCGTCCTGGACCATTCTCAAGTCTTGTGAAGCGGTAAATGAAACTTGCGGTAAAGTTTGCTTCTATGAAACTAGTTGGAAAACTTGCTTCACACAAGTGTTATCCAGTTTCCACACCATTATTTCCCCATTTATGTTCAACATTTAAATCTTTCAACGTTGAATTCATTGATTCGATTTTTATTATTTATTTTATTTTATTTTTGTTATTTATATGTACAAAAGTTCTTACATTCTTGTACAGCCACTAGCACGCATAGCGTTTCGGGCAGGTCCTTAATCCTAATTTTCACACGCACACATCCCCTGAGTTGACATTTCAACCTTATTTGTATAACTATTATTAAATCCATTCCTCAGTTTTACATTGTATTAAATTATTATGATTTACTTCACGCCTGCCGAGAAAATGTCGAGGGTTCGCGTAAACTGGTCACTGGAAACACAAGGGACCAGATTCACGAAAGCACTTACGCAAACACTTACGAACGTGTACATCTTTTCTCAATCTTTGGCGGCTTTGTTTACAATTATTAAACAGGTAATGAGCTCCGAAGCACCAGGAGGCTGTTTATAACAATAACAACAATTGATTGGCAAGTTTTCATGCTTGTAAACTGTTTAATAAATGTAACCAAAGCCGTCAAAGATTGAGGAAAGATGTACACGTTCGTAAGTGCTTGCGTAAGTACTTTCTTGAATCTGGCCCAAGGTTTCGCCCCAGGACGATTCATATAAGGGCTCCTCTAACCCCGGCTCATACGATTTTTCAGATACCGGTTCTGCATTGCAGCTCCAATGGAAGGTTTCCTAAATTCTGTCCATCTTCAAAATGGCTCTCAAACCTCTGGTCACCGCCGCCTTGAAACAGCGTCGCGTACGCGGTTTAACAAATCCCAATTCTTGCGGCGGTTCTCCTCTCCCCAGTTCGAACGGAGATCCTGTGGGTTCCAGTTCGTGTGAAGATTCTTCAGGTCCCTGGCGACGTGAATATCCAGCTCCGCGGAGCCCCGCGGGTCAATGGGCACAGGTTGAGGAGTGAAATCTGGTGGATCCCCAGCTAGGTCAGCACCAGGGTCCTGGGGGTCCCTGGTGTTGAAGTCAAACTCCGAGGATTCCCGGGGGTCGATGGGGGTGGTCTCAGAGATGCTGAAGTTAGAATGCGTTAATCCAAGTGTGTTGGCGGCAATACTTGCCCTACCCTGGGGCCTTGAGAACTGTGGGAGACAGAAGGAGAAGAATGGTCATGACGATTTTTGGAGAGAGAGAGAGACAGAGGGACAGAGAGAGAGAGAGAGACAGAGGGACAGAGAGAGAGAGAGAGAGGCAGACAGAGACGGATCATTCACGCACCTTGAAGTAGCGGCAGAAGACGAGGTCGAGGAAGCAAGCCCTGGGTGCTGGGGGCACCACCACCAGCACCAGGAACAGCATCACGCCCTGCAGCGAGCTGAACAGCGTGAAGATCACCGCCAGCGCCTTCGTGCCTACCGAGTTTTCCACCAACACTTCAGTATACGTAATTACTTTATTTTCTATCTTTAATTGTACATATGATCATTTCTGTGCACTAAATATTTTTAGCATAAATTACATTTTGTTGTTATTATGTGTAAAAGATCTGAAATACTATTTTGGTATTTGATATAATTATTCTGCTTTAAAAATACGTTTTCCGTATTAAAATAATTAGCTTATTACACCTTAAAAAATAAAATCACATAATCTAATTATTTACAAGATTGAAGACACATCTGGCCTTTATTAACATTTCTTCTTAATTATTTGGTCATATTATATTTACCATGTAGTATCTATAAGATTCTAAATACATCAACACTAAACACAACTTTAAAAATACATATAAATTGCACAAGTTTAGATTTAGAAAAGACCTCTGTAAATACTGGTTTGGAAACCTAGGTTGGTCATTTATGGAACCGACGGCCGTGTACCATGGTATATATATATTTTAGACTTTTGGATTGTTTCAGGCGTAGGTTAGACATGTATGTGGATGAGTTTGGGTGGGTATATGAGGAGGAGCTGCCAGTCATGGGTCAGTGTTTGTGTTCATGCTGATGAACACGAACACGTTTTCTTAGTTATAAGGAAGTAAGGAAGGATCGAACCCTCTTTTAATCTATTAATTTGACTAGCTTCTTCGTTATTTCTCCATGTTGCTCTCATTTACGTTCGAGACGGTATCTTCGTGAGGAGGAGGAACAGAAGAATGAGAGGAGTACCAGTAACAGAAGAAGGCCGAAAGAAAATGGAGTGGCTTGCTCCCTAAGCCCGACTCTGATAGACGCAGGAATGCTACACAAGCTCGACTTTGAGCCAGTGGAGTGTTGCCAGGGCCTGACCTTGAGAGAAGTAGAGGAACCCGGTGAGCCAGGTGAGGCCCATCACGGTGGCCAGGGTGACGGAGCGCCTCAGCAGCAGCGTTTTTCTCTTCTTTTCTTTTTTCCCGCCACCAGAGCGACTCTCCCGCTGGCGTACCAACACCCGCACCCCGAGCACGAACATCACCACGTTCACCTGCGGCCAGGGAACAGTGTCATTAATTGATGAAGATTAAGCCACTCAAGAGGTGCCCACGGACAAATTAACTTTACCAATCATGACTGAGGAGAGCGAGAACCTTAAAAGAGCAAGTATATAATCTAACAAAGTTGTAGAGGCAAAATTTGCTAAGCAGTTTAGTAAAGAGGTTCTTAATTGTGTGGTCTTCAAATGCAGATGATGAGTCACAATAACGTGGCTGAAGATATGATGACCAGACCACACAACAGAAGATGAGGAGACGACTTATAATACGACTTGATAATGGTCCAGGACGGACCGAAACGTCGTGGTTCCTTCATCTTCTGGTGTGTGTGGTCTGGTCATCGTGGTCTCTGAAGTTGACACCAGAGGGCAGGGCGCCCTGGACCTACCAGGAGAATGACCAGCGCAGGCGCAGCAAAGGCCCATATCAGTCCCTGATCCATAGGATCCAGCCAACAGCTGATGAGAGAAATGTAAGTTGTGTCAATTTATTTACCCCCCAAAAAATTAAATCACAGTTTTAATCAATAGTGTATTTAGGTTGGTATTGTTATGGAAGTCTATTGAAAAATATGTAGATTCTACAGGTGTTGACAGGTGTGCAGAGGTGTACAACACGTGTCCCTGGAGATTCGTGCCAGTCTTGAATCCAATTTAAGAAATCGTACAAGGCGCTCTGTAGAGCTGGTAAGTCCTGTGATTTTTGCAGCGATTTTAATTTAATCCACAAATTCGATTATTTCTGCTATAATAATTAAAAAAATAATTAACCTATAGTTCAAGGCCAGTGATCTATTCCTCTTCTTAAAAGGCAACACTAAATATGGAACCCTCTACGATTGCAGTCATTTATGCGACTGTAATAATTCATTAAATAAGCTTATGGAGCTCATCTTGATATTATTTAAGGACACCTGGAAAGCACATTTTCTGACCCTCGGGACCAGTCTGTGGATGGATCTGAAAGAACTATGGGGTTTGTCCCTATCTGCCCACTCAAAAGTTAATTTTTGCTGTTTTTACTTCTTTTTAAACACGGACAGCCTGATAAATAATTTATATGCCACCTTTCCAGTACTTGATTAGTTTATGTATATCTTTATTCTGTTTCGATGAGTTATAGTTTATTTCTTGTGTTTATACCACCTTATGATATAAACTGCCCATACATCATGCCCACCTTAGAGCCCCGAACTACCACCCTCTGCCACAAGGTATTCACAAACTATCCCCCAGCTAAGAACCTCAAACTACCACAAGGTACTCACAAACTATCGGTGCCGTAGCCTTCAGGACTGATGGATGCAGATATGATCACGATGATCGCTGGGGCGCCGTAGGCCACTGCGTGATAGTAGGGCAGAGGTGACGTGGCCGTCCGGAACACCTGGAAGAGAGCCACGCCGGTGTAACACCAGGCAGAGAACATTGCTAGTCTGGGAAGTGTGTTGGTGGGAGTCCTTCAGGCAAACTCCCACTGTCACCCACCTGCCACTGGGAGTTTGCCTCAACACCCACCTGACCTTCAGAGCAAACACTGCCGCTCCTTCACTAAGGGAAAACTAACCTGACCTAAACATCACTAGTTATCCTAACAGACTCTTAACATTACAGTCGAACAAATAAAACCAAGCTGACGCAGACAGTGACTACGCCAGCAGACAGTGAAGCCCCAGCTGTCAGCAGACACTGACCCTCACTAGCAGGAGGTAAACGCAGACGCCCTCGACCCCCATCCAGCAGAAGTAGGCCAGCAGAAGGTAGTGAAGGATGGCGGCCACCGCGGCGCACCCCACCTTGCTCTCCGTGCTGTCCAGTCCAGCTAGCAACACCACCTGCAGGAGAGACACGTGAGGGAGTGTTGGAGGCCAGACAGGGGAGTGTTGGAGGCCAGGCAGGGGAGTGTTGGAGGCCAGACAGGGAGTGTTGGAGGCCAGGCAGGGGAGTGTTGGAGGCCAGACAGGGAGTGTTGGAGGCCAGGAGCCAGATTCACGAAAGCTCTTACGCAAGCACTTGCGAACGTGTACATCTTTCCTCAATCTTTGACGGCTTTGGTTACATTTATTAAACAGTTTACAAGCATGAAATCTTCCCATTCAACTATTGTTATTGTTATAAACAGCCTCTTGGTGCTTCGGAGCTCATTACCTGTTTAACAATTGTAAACAAAGCCGCCAAAGATTTGAGAAAAGGTGTACAGGTTCGTAAGTGTTTGCGTAAGTGCTTTCGTGAATCTGGCCCCAGGCAGGGGAGTGTTGGAGGCCAGGCAGGAGAGTGTTGGAGGCCAGGCAGGGGAGTGTTGGAAGAAGAGAGAAAGGTAAATTTAATCGAAGGGTAGAGGAAGACATCAAGACTAACGAATGAAAGAAAAGGCAGATTAAACGAGAAAGTATTCAACAGTAACTCCATAGCATCAAGAACTTGAAGGTTTTCACGCTTATAATTTGGCGAAAATTATTTAACAAATGTTTACATAAATTACAAATGCTAATTTCAACGTCACGTGTCTTAATAATTGGTTAAAATATATACCTCAAAATTATTAACACAATCGTCTCACGCATCTCTCAGATAATCAATACATAACTTTAATTAACAAGGATAACTTGCTCATTACTCACAGATGTGGAACATATGTGGAATGGGAACAGATGTGGAATGCGTGATTGATGGGGAGGAACATGTGTTACAATGAGAGGTATAATGATAGGCTAACACTGGATAAAGGGGGGGAACCATAAATGGTGAGGATAGTGAGGATGAAAGTGATGACAGTGAGGTACATAATGAGAATGATAACTCTACATGATACTGATGACCGTTATTGCTGAGAATGATGACAATGTTAGTGACTATAGGGGCAAGAGCAAGCCATAGCTTAGAGGCCAGCTGGGAGGCCAGCTGGGAGGCCAGCTGGGAGGCCAGCTAGGAGGCCAGCTGGGAGGCCAGCTGGGAGGCCAGCTGGGAGGCCAGCTGGGAGGCCAGCTGGGAGGCCAGCTAGGAGGCCAGCTAGGAGGCCAGCTGGGAGGCCAGCTAGGAGGCCAGCTGGGAGGCCAGCTAGGAGGCCAGCTGGGAGGGCGACAACGCACCGTGGAGACGAAGAGGCAGCAGCACAAGTTGAGGTGAATGACGACGCTGGTGGTACTGACGACCTGTCGTCCCCGGATCATGACGACCAGGGTGACGACCGCTGCGGCCAGGCACACCAACGACAATCCGCAGCCGATGTCTGTGATCAGCACCAGCACAGGCTGTGGGGGAAGAGCGTTTAAGTAACAAGGGAACGAGATGGGAGAACTGGAGACTGGAGGAGGAGACCATAGTCCCAGAGACACGCTGCGGGAGGGGTGGACAGGTGCAGTCACCTAGACGGGATATAGTCACTTTGAACTCCACTTCAAAGTTTCAAGAATACGTAATGAGAGAAGTGAAGTGAATTATTAGGGGGAAAGCACCAAGCCATTACGACTATATAGCACTTGGAAGGAGTCAGGATAAGGATTTGGGATGGGACGGGGGGGAAGGAATGGTGCCCCAACCACTTGGACGGTTGGGAATGGAACGCCGACCTGCATGAAGCGAGACCGTCGCTCTACCGTCAACTAACGCATCAAGAAGGCAACATTCACTTTAAGTGATTATATATTTAGGTAAGCACACACACACACCCTCGTGAGGCTGAGTGGACAGCGCTCGGGAGTTGTAGTCCTAATGGTCCGGGTTCGATTCCCGGCGGAGGCGGAAACAAACGGGGAGAGTTTTTCATCCTGATGCTCCTGTTCACCTAACAGTAACTAGGTACGTGGGAGGCAGCTGCTACGGGCTGCTTCCTGGGGATGTGTGTACTCATCTAGTTGTGCTTGCGAGGGTTGAGCTCTGGCTCTTTGGTCCCGCCTAACGTGTGTGTGTTTTAGAGAGAAATATATATAGTAGATATAGAATAAAGGGAAAATAGATTGGTTAGAAAGGCGGGGTCCAAGAGCTAATAGCTCGACACAAATAGTAAACACACACACGACTCATCACTCATCAGAAACACTTACATCATTAACATCGATGATGCCGTTGATGTCCATGATGATGGCGAAGTTTGTGAGGTGGTTACAGGAGCAGACGCTGAAGTAGTCGCTACTGGAGTCGAGCCAGCAGCCATCCGGGGACCAGGAGCTGGAGACCGGGTCCCACCACACGCACAACTTGCTGCTCCCATTTAAGTTGTACCTTGAAAAGCAAAATGGAAGATGATGACGCCCTCACAATCCACAGGGATCCCCTCGAGTGGGATCGGAAATGGTTGGGCATGTCACCCGACACCTCTGTTTACCAAGCAGTCTATAGGTACCCAGGAGTCAGTTCCCTCCCTCTTATAGTTCGACCTATAGGGGAGGTGAACCTCCATATAAGCTTAAATATAGGCTTTTCTGTCCTCAATAATGTGAATTATTATAGTTTGGTGTCCTGGTCAAGCCTTCACACTGTTCTCTCCCGTCCGTCAATGTGTAGCAAAAATATAAGCACAGTTTGTGTTGGATCAGAGTTCATACACACATTATATATTACCAAGACACCTGCCCTAGTTTACCTGGTGACTGCACTCACTCAGAGTGGAGAGGAGGATGGAGTTATCAAGGAAAAGTGCCAAGCAATTACGACTATATAGCACTGGAAAGGGGTCAGGATAAGGATTTGGGATGGGACCGGGGGGAAGGAATGGTGCCCCACCGCTTGGACGGTCGGGGATTGAACGCCGACTTGCATGAAGCGAGACCGTCGCTCTACCGTCCAGCCCAAGTGGGTGGATAAGCCCACTCTTCTCAGAGTAGAGAGAAGATAGGAAAACTGACAGAAAAAGAAAGCCGATGGATAATAAAAAAAAGAGAGGTCTAATGTAAAGATACTAAATAAGATAAAATTAGAGATCCAATAAAGAAAAGGAAGGTTAACGAGGAAAATGTGGGGTGGCGAGAGAAAAACAGGGTGCACTCAAGAGTAAAAAAAAACCATCACAGTCACTTCTGAGCTCATCTATCATCCATCAATATCGAGGGAAGGCCGTCTCCCCAGCCCCAGTAAACAACTCACCTGTCGCCTGAAAAGATGTGCCTGAAAGTGATCCTGACCCTCGGGTTATCGGCGGCGCCTTGAGGGGACTCGACGCTCCTGAGGGTGTCATTGAGAGTCATGCCCATTATGTACCCATTAACTACTTCCTGGAGAGGGTACACTACTCCTCCTGTGGCCAGCGCCGTCTGCAGACCCGCAGGGTTGCTGTGGTCGCGCGAGAGAGGCATCATTGCCGTGGCGGCAGAGGAGGATGGCAGCGGCGGCAGAGGAGGATGGCAGCGGCGGCAGAGGAGGATGGCAGCGGCGGCAGAGGATGACAGAGCAGGATGGCACAATGGCGAAGCAAGCCGAGGGGAAAGAAGGGAGAAAAGGATGATCTAATTATTACAGTTGTGTGTGTGTAAATATGGGAGTTTAGTTGATATTGTTTTGATCATCTTCCGAAGGCCAGTTGCCCTTTCAAAGACAATTTTTTGCTTCATCTAAAGTGTAATAATATTACTGACACTAATAATAACTTAGGATAATGCAAATATTAACACTAATGCAGCAAATTCTATTACAGAAGCCAAAATCATCTGTACCACCACCACCACTACCAAGACCTACCTAACTGCACCCTCCCACCCCTAGCGGCCATGTATCACCCTACACCCTCACTACAATCTGTCCTCCCCAACTTCCTACCAACAGAACACCTTTCAGCTACATCCAAAAAGTTCTTTCCCACTAAAGATCTCAGCAGCCCGTGGCCTGGACCCCAGAAAGCAAAGACATGTTCGTATTACCGTGTGGAATATATGATTAATAATTAAGGAACAGTAAGTTGGAAGCGGAAAAAAATTTAAAAGAAGGAAAGTTCAGTGTGCTAGGCTTTTGATACAATTAAATGATAACAGGAATATAATAATTATAACGAAAGGAATGAAGGAAAATTAGAAAAAAACAAAATGTTTCACAAGTCAAGTCTGGCCTCGGGCCGGGCTTGGGGAGTAGAAGAACTCCCAGAACCCCATCAACCAGGTATATGTGGGCCTGCGGGCCGCTCCAAGCAACAGCCTGGTGGACCAAGCTCTCACAAGTCGAGCCTGGCCTCGGGCCGGGCTTGGGGAGTAGAAGAACTCCCAGAACCCCATCAACCAGGTATCAACCAGGTAATGCCTGGGAAGGAATAGCGTCAATGTCCACATTCTCAGATTGTAGTTCAAGATGGTGATTGTTGTGGGATATTTACAACGTGGTGACGCAAGTGAGAATAAATATATTTGCCTTTATTATCTGAGATTATTTGATTGATATAACACTTAGACGTTATATAACAATGATAACGGGTAGCCTGAGTGAACCAAGAGGAAACTGCCTCAGGAGTAATACATGACAGTGATTGAAGATTCCAAGACATGTCAATGTAAAGAGTTATGTATTACCATTACATATTTTAAACCGAAGAATACATACAAACACACACACGGTACAGGGTAAGTGAGGACGCTGAACCAAAGAGCTTAGTTGTTGATGTGTTTGTTGCGAGAAGCGCAGCTCAGTACGTAATTAGCTCTTGGGCCCCGCCTTTCTAACCGTGTGAGGCCACAAGAGCTATAGGGAGAATATGTTGAGGTATGTCTGTTTACATAGTGCTGTGTGAGATGACATTACCTGGTGAAGGGTGAGAGGTCCTCACAGGGAGCCTGCAAGTTAAATAATATAAGTTTGGAAGATGAGTAAGCAGAGAACTGGAAGATGAATGAGAGACAAAATAATGTTTGGCTGTAGTACTGAGGGATCCCACGACAAAAACTTAACCTTAGTGCCATGTGAGATGACTACAAGATATTTTATAACAAGAAAAGGAAGTACGAGCAGTTGCATAAACTGGAAGAAGAATGCAATTGGTGGACAGGTAAATGGAAATGTTTAAGCTCGACCTGCAGGAAGTTAAATGCTAAACGGGAGATTGAAAATGGTTATGGGGAGAATTTTGTGTAAAGTTTAACGGCTGGAGGTGATGGGAGAGATGCTGGTGTGAGGGTGATTGGTCTTGCTGGGTGGGAACTGCGGGGCGTCGTGACGGAGACGTTTAGGCATCACTGAAGAAGCTGACACCAGGGGGGAGGCTGTCGGTGTAGATGAGGTTTGTGTACAAGTTATTAAATGTTGCCGAAAAAAATAAGGTTGTGGGTTTGATAATTTTTGCATGTGTGTACTCACCTAGTTGCGCTTGCGGGGGTTGAGCTTTGGTTCTTTAGTCCCGCCTCTCAACTGTCAATCAACTGGTGTACAGATTCCTGAGCCTACTGGGCTCTTATCATATCTACATTTGAAACTGTATGGAGTCAGTCTCCACCACATCACTGCCTAATGCATTCCATTTGTCAACTACTCTGACACTAAACAAATTATTTCTAATATCGCTGTGGCTCATTTGGGCACTCAGTTTCCACTTGTGTCCTCTAGTGCGTGTGCCCCTTGTGTTAAATAGCCTGTCTTTATCTACCCTGTCAATTTCTCTGAGAATCTTGTACGTGGTGATCATATCCCCTCCCTAACTCTTCTGTCTTCTAGCGACGTGAGGTTTAATTCCCGTTATGTGTGTGTGTGTGTGTGTGTGTGTGTGTGTGTGTGTGTGTGTGTGTGTGTGTGTGTGTGTGTGTGTGTGTGTGTGTGTGTGTGTGTGTGTGTGTGTGTGTGTGTGTGTGTGTGTGTGTGTGTGTGTGTGTGTGTGTGTGTGTGTGTGTGTGTGTGTGTGTGTGTGTGTGTGTGTGTGTGTGTGTGTGTGTGTGTGTGTGTGTGTGTGTGTGTGTGTGTGTGTGTGTGTGTGTGTGTGTGTGTGTGTGTGTGCGTGTGTGTGTGCGTGCGTGCCAGTTCGTACCCACTTACCAGATAATCCCTCGCCCGAGAACGCACTGGAGAGTTGTAAACTCCATAAAAGTGACAGCCACCTGATCAGCCGTTCTACCAGACTGTTGGAGGCTCTCCAGAAGCTCTATTTTGCTGCCAGAATCCTGCAAGAGAGAACACAAATCGCGAAGTGATGTTGGTTACCTCGAGATGATGACAGATGTTCGCTAAACAGATGTTTGTAATGGGAATTTGATACTCGCCCAAAGCTATGTTTAGTAGTACTATAAATACGGCTCTCTTTTTACGTGTAGTATGTCCAGACAAATGTATATAGTTCTAAGCTCGTCAATAGAGTATGAAAGATATCAGGTAATAGTTTATAAAATTACGAAATCAAATTATAAAAAGAATTTGAGAGTAATAATTAATACGGATCTTAACCCAGACAATATGGAAAAATATTCTAAACTAAGACCAATAAGGTTCTAAGATTTATGTCTGAAATCGTTATCAATAATAAAATCGACTTGATAATGGTCCAGGATGGACAGAAACGTCGTCGTCCTTGTATCTTCTGGTGTGTAAGTTGGTCTTCATATCTTCAGCCACGTTATTGTGACTCATCGTCTGCGTTATTAATCTCGACTCTCCTCCAATCCCCTAGAACAGTTCAGACCCGGTTGTAGTAGTGGTGCCAATCATTAGTGGTGCTGATGAACGAGTGAGCCGATTAGTTGGTCAACAGAGAGACAAATATAATGGAAGACATATCTAGATATTGGTTGGTTGGGAACTTACATTAGTATGGAGATGGACACCCAACTCACACATCTTAAAAAGGAAGCGAAGAGGTTCGCTCGAGCCTTGACTATTGTCAAGTCGTGTACAGAGAGTGGTAGAGACAGTATACAAGGGTGATGGTTGGGTACTCACAAGGGTGATGGTTGGGTACTCACAAGGGTGATGGTTGGGTACTCACAAGGGTGATGGTTGGGTACTCACAAGGGTGATGGTTGGGTACTCACAAGGGTGATGGTTGGGTACTCACAAGGGTGATGGTTGGGTACTCACAAGGGTGATGGTTGGGTACTCACAAGGGTGATGGTTGGGTACTCACAAGGGTGATGGTTGGGTACTCACAAGGGTGATGGTTGGGTACTCACAAGGGTGATGGTTGGGTACTCACAAGGGTGATGGTTGGGTACTCACAAGGGTGATGGTTGGGTACTCACAAGGGTGATGGTTGGGTACTCACAAGGGTGATGGTTGGGTACTCACAAGGGTGATGGTTGGGTACTCACATTACTGTGGGTGTAGATGCGGTTGTTGTCGTCAGCATAGTGCTGTCGGTTGAAGCTCTCCGCCTCCACACCTGGCAAAAAAACTGTCATTTACACCCTGTGTTGTATACCTGTCAGGTCTCTCAGCCGTGATCATTGTCCACGGCGCGCGAGTGTTGAACACTAATGAAAGGAAATTATGAGGAGACAGCGGTAACTATTTGGCACGTGGAAGGGATGTGAGGATAGCGAGGATAGGAGCTGGGATAAGGGAACGGTGTCAAGGAACGGTGCTAACCATTTGGGCCATCTGGTATCGAACGCCGACCTGCAAGACAATTGTCGCTAGGGGTGAACTGAAGAACACTGAATTTCACCCGGTGAAGAAGAGCCACGATACATTCTTCAGCGTTATAGTAAGGAATGCCAAATGATCAATGATTTCAGACGAAATACTTTGAGGTTAGCAACCATTTCCTTCACTTAGGGATACTGAACGATACCATCACAGTTCACACAAAGTTTGCTAGTAGGGGCAATTAGGCTCCCGTGCAAGACAAACCATCCTGCGAGATGGGGATATTAGCTGAAGGTTCTAGCTTGTGTCCCGAGCATCCCAGACACTGCCTTAATCGACTGAGCTCGGGTGCAGGGGGGGGGGTTGTGTAAAAGCCTGGTTTATGCCTCGGAGAAGCTACGGGATCCAGTAAGTTCAGTAGAACTTCGGTTTCAACCCTTTTAACCCTGTCGTAGCTCAGTCGATTAAGGCAGTGTCTGGGATGCTCCCGGACGCAGGTTCGAATCCTCGTCATGGCCCTTGTGGATTTTTTCTTGTGTCCCGAGTCTCTGTAACCCCTCATATAGATTACGGTAGCAGCACTAACTCCTCCTTAGAAGACTATTAACGGGGATTAAGACAAGTTCATGTCAGATCTGATCGTTTTTCCATACATCTAAACACTCGCCTTGATGGCTGGTGTCAACCTGGGGCCAGATCCATGAAAGCACTTACGCAAGTACTTACGAACCTGTACATCTCTTCTCAATCTTTGGCGGCTTTGTTTACAGTTATCAAACACTTAATGAGCTCCGAAGCACCAGGAAGCTGTTTATAACAATAACAACAGTTGAATGGGAAGTTTTCATGCTTGTAAACTGTTTAATAAATGTAACCAAAGCCGTCAAAGATTGAGGAAAGATGTACACGTTCGTAAGTGATAGCGTAAGTGTTTTCGTGAATCTGGCCCCTGGACCCCGGGGAAGGTCACTCCTAGTCAGACCTTGTTTACCCGGGTCTTTACTCATTTAAGTAACAGAGACCTGGGCCAGGATTCATTAAGTGTCCAGTTACGAAACCTGTACAACTGTCCTTAATCATGACAGCTTAGCTTGCATTTATGAAACAGTTTACGAGCTCCGAAGCGGTACAAGGTTGTCTACAACAATAATAACCTTGGGTTGTGAAGTTTCGAAGCTCGCAAACCGTTTAATAACTATTGAATAACCCGACTTGATCTAGATAAGAAGTACAGGTTTCGTAAGCCGACACTTAAATGCTTGACGAATCCTAACCCAGTTGAGACGAAGGCTAGCAACCAGCACATTACATTTCCCCGAGTCATTTTGACAACAAAATTCCTATACAAAAATCCCTTCCTGTCCCGTTTGGTAACGAGGGCCTTGTTGACGTGGCACCACTGGCGGAACATGGCACCCTTGACCCCTGGGTCAACTTACCCACGGTCTCACGATGGTAGCTCTTGCTCTGGGCATCCAGCAGCTGCGCCATCTCCTCCACCGCCGACTGTAGAAGCTCCTGCATTACGGTACAATTCCTGCGGCGAGGCGCCTCCGGCAGCCCAAACCACACCTGAGGGAGAGACCCCAAGATGACTACGGTCAGGGACGAAGAGCTTCCAGGAATTCATCAAACCATTTACTCGTCTAATTACGAAAGCTGTACATCTTTCTCCTCAATCACGGAGGAGGTGGTGGGGTTTGTTTACAGTTATTCAACGTTTACATGATTCGAAAAACCACACTCTAAGGTTATTACTGATATGAAATAACTTCTTAGAATGGATATGGGACCCTATACTCATCCTGTGAGTGGTAGTGGACACAAAGCTCATCCTAAACTAATTTTTTCATCTCCCCCTTCACTCTCACTCAATCACAAATTGATTTTATTCCACCCGTCGTCCTATACTCGCCCAGCAACCCGTAGCCTAACCTGCGCCTGCTTCAGGAGCCTGTCGACGACCAGGGAGACGGAGCTGACGTAGGTGCTGGTGACGTTAAGGATCTGGTCGGGATCTGTCAAGCCTTGCCGGTCTCTCCTGTGGCGTTCCCCTGCCGCCTCCAGCAGATTCACAGTCCCCGCCACGTCGCCTGCAGGAGAGAGCTGCACTTAACAGGGGACAGACAGTCTACGGGCTCGCCATAGCCCGTGCTACTTGGAACTTTTTGTTCCAGGTAGCGAATCTTAAACAACATAACAGGAGAGAGGGGGGAAGGTCGTAGTGGATTAGCTAGGAGCACAGACGGACTTATGATGTGAGGTTAGTGCGTGTTTAAGACTAGAACTCAAGTCAGATAAATGGCATCTTAGTTCTACAATCTTCGTCAAGGTGGTGATCGATGTTCTGAACAGTGTTAATCGACCATAATGCGATCTGAGATAGGGTATTTTTTATTTCTAGTTCGCGTAACACTATATGACTGCAAATATTTATATGTAAAACTCGCGGTCCCATTCTAGATAATAACATATGTGCATATTATATTTATATATATTATAATATAGTCAGTATATTATAATATCAGTTGCATATAGTCCTGGGGACCATTCAGGCTTGTTCGCATATATTATATTATATATATATATATATATTATATACACACCCGTAACAAAATCTTTTATTATTATACAAAACAAATTATCATATAATTGGCCATAATTAAAGTGGATGAAGCTAAGTTGATATACAAGACTTGAAAAACAAATCACTAGTCATGTGTCAATATTGAATGCACCGATACAGTAACCATCATTAACGGAAAGCTTAAGAAAGTACAATTACTTTCCTACAAGTACTTAAGTACAAGTACTTAAAGTACTTTCTTTACAAAAAAAATTAGAGGCTTCATTGTAATCTAACATCAGCATCAGGAAGTACTGTAATAAAAAGATTAGTAATGACAATATCTATCAAATTTCAGTAACATAAAACACCAAAATAAATTTAATTTGACAAATTCAATAAAGACTTCCGCCAAAAAAAAAAAAATACAAGATATATCCTATACTTTATTATATAGCCTAACAAAAATGACTATAAAGGGACGTCACCACAGGAGATCTGGATTATAATGAAGTTTGACGAGTATATAATTGTTATATAACTCGTACGAGTATATAAATTATACATTTGTCCTAAATACAAATGTAACATATAAGTAATTATCAAAGAAACAAATGCAACAAAAAAAAATGCTCGTAAATGTTGATAATATTAAAACGTTGACATACAAATGAGAAACTAAAAAAAGATCAATTATAAAAATGAAAAAAAACACACGAGAGGAAAAAATAAATATTAGTTAATATTTGTCTAATTTGACAACTTGTTCAATATACATTTAAGCGTAAATAATGAAACAAGCAGAGCAGAACTATTTAATTTGGGATGATATATTTTTATTACAAAAAATATCCAATATCCTCAAATTCTATAGTGATTAAAATTAGTAAACCAGAATGTGCGCTATGAATTACTTTTAACAGGCAATCTGGAATGGGGGGAGTGAGATGGGGGGGTGGGAAGGGGGTTGGGAGGATGGAATGGGGGGAGTGAGATGGGGGGGTGGGAAGGGGGTTGGGAGGATGGAATGGGGGGAGTGAGATGGGGGGGGTGGGAAGGGGGTTGGGAGGATGGAATGGGGGGAGTGAGATGGGGGGGTGGGAAGGGGGTTGGGAGGATGGAATGGGGGGTGAAGTAAGGGGGTAATATACTAAAAAAAGTAATTTTTTTGTAATATTTTAACTCAACTGGGAAACGAATATTAGAATATTTAAAATAAATATATGACTTGAAAAAGATCAATGTGAGGAAAGTTAGTTGACATGTATTAACAGAAAATATATAATATAACAAAAGGTTTCAAATGTAAAGTGTTAAAGAACAGTCAAAATTAATGAGAGCATAGGAACCCCGATCGCAGACACGAACAAGGAATCACGAACGCAGACACGAACAAGGAATCACGAACGCAGACATGAACAAGGAACCACGAACGCAGACATGAACAAGGAACCACGAACGCAGACATGAACAAGGAATCACGAACGCAGACACGAACAAGGAACCACGAACGCAGACATGAACAAGGAACCACGAACGCAGACACGAACAAGGAACCACGAACGCAGACATGAACAAGGAACCACGAACGCAGACACGAACAAATTAACTAGTACACGCACCAAACCAAATCACAAGCACCGGAAAAACTTAACAAATCAACATATATATAAACACGACAAGAAATAACTCACCATGGTTAATAAATAAACCAAACACACCCATTCAGATGAAAGACCGAGTAAAAAAACAAAGTCCAATAAACAAAAACTGAGGAAGCAACACACACTTATATGACGTCATATGACATATGTAAGAGCCACAGGTCCAAGTGGCACAGGTCACAGTGCATATGTAAGAGCCACAGGTCCAAGTGGCATTGGCGTCGCCAGTGTCCGGACAGTTCTGCGTCCGTGTCTCCCCTGGCTCCGTTTGGTTCCACTGCAAGCAAAACACACTTCCTGGGAACTGAAGGTGAAAGACCAAGAGGAAGGAAGAAAAAAATGAACCGACATGAAAGTGACGAAGAGCTCAGTAGAGAGAGAGAGAGGATGGGTTGGACCGACCTGGCGCCATGTTGGTGCTGGTGGTGTTAGCGACGAAGTCCGTTAATATGTCCCCGGCCGTAGTGTTGGTGGAGTTGTCGGACAGCGCAGACGCCCACTCCTCCAGCTGCAGATTGCTGCAGGCGCTGCCCAGGGGGGAAAAGAAACACGCTACACACGGTTACTACTGACGGGGAGGTGACAGCAAGGTCGGAGGTGGGGGGATGGAACAGTGACGACGTAGTATTTACTTGTAAGAGGCAGTGACTGGGTGTGAGTTACACGTATGAAGAAGCAGCAAGACAAGGGAATGAGTCACGTGTATGAGCAGACGGCAGGACAAGGAAATGAGTCATGCGTATGAGTAACAGCAAGACAAGAGTATGAGCCAGTCAAATGGTCGCTCCTGTGTGATAATAACAAGAGAATTATTATTTATGTAACCATTTACTCGTATGAACTAAAGTGGCTTTTGTCATACCAGATTTCTCTATGTGGATCATCATTGCAATTGCGATGCTTTTACAGATTCCATCATTGGTTTTCACACATGCAAATTATACTTTCCAGTCCGTCCTCAAAAAAAAAAAAAAAGGCTAAAGGCACGTTAATCCAGACGCTAAATCTCCTTTTTATGGAAAAAAGTACTCATTACTCACAATCAATTAGGTTCGAACTCTTCTTGAACAGTGTTTCTCTTTGTCCATGTGTTCGACTGACACCTCTTTAAATATTTCAACCCAGGTATTAGAGCAGATCAATATCAACTTGATATAATGCATCCAGGGTTGTTTTGTTATCAAAGCTTGACACGCTGTTAAGAATATAATTTAAATATAAAGTGTTTTACTCACCTGAGATCTGGCTCGTCGATCCAGTGGCCGTCGGAGCCACAGGTCCAAGAGGCATTGGCGTCGCTAGTGTCCGGACAGTTCTGCGTCCGTGTCTCCCCTGGCTCCGTTTGGTTCCACTTGTACTCAGGGTACACCTCGGGCAGCGGGACGCACTCGGGGCACGGGCGCCGGGGGCCTGGTGTCGTAGTCGAGGCTGCAATGGTTGTAGAGCTTGTAGTCGAGGCTGCAATCGTTGTAGAGCTTGTAGTCGAGGCTGCAATGGTTGTAGAGCTTGTAGTCGAGGCTGCAATGGTTGTAGAGCTTGTAGTCGAGGTTGTGACAGTTGTGGAAGTGGTGGTCGATGAAGGAACCGTTGAGGGTGTGGAAGCGTTGGTGGTGGTTGCTGAAGGCGTTGGTATTGGAGTTGATGGTGCCTCTGTTGGGGGATTATGTTCGAGCACCATCGGGTATTCACAAAGAACAGACCGTTGCCCGTCTATATCATCTCTGTCCGTACAGTTTAGGGCATCTGGAACTTTAACATACATATTAAAAGCCGCTAAAGCGTTGGCGTCATCCCAGGCATCTACCCACACTGACCCCACGTCAGGCGGGCAGACAGCTACAGTACTGTTGTACAGAGACATAAGGGCCATGTCACCTCCCTGGGCGTTACAAGCGAGCTTGGCTTCCTGTGGGTCAGAGTAGTTACCGTCCGGGACAACCAAACAGCCTCCAGTCATGTCTGGAGATGCTGCTTCCTCGGAACATCGCCATTCGGAATCGATCTGGGGATCACAGACTCGTAAATGATTATGTTTCTAACATTGCGCTCAATGTATTGTCACTGTATATATCAAACTATACTGTAAATAGAAGTATCAGTAAGCTTGTATGCCAGACACTTTCACAAGTCAGATCAAAGTGAACAATGAACTCACAACAACGTTATCTATATCTATGAGAAAACCTTATGGTGCTGTGTGGAATGAAAGTCCCCGTGGTGTAGTGGTAAGACACTCGCCTGGCGTTCCGCGAGCGCTATGTCATGGGTTCGTATCCTGGCCGGGGAGGATTTACTGGGCGCAATTCCTTAACTGTAGCCTCTGTTTAACGCAACAGTAAAATGTGTACTTGGATGAAAAAACGATTCTTCGCGGCAGGGGATCGTATTCCAGGGACCATAGGATTAAGGACTTGCCCGAAACGCTACGCGTACTAGTGGCTGTACAAGAATGTAACAACTCTTGTATATATCTCAAAAAAAAAAAAAAAAAAAAAAAAAAAACTCCGATGAGTCCAAAGGTGCCAGTTCGATCCCATATGTTTCCTTAATTATCTTCAGATGTATTCATATATTTCATATATATTTTTTCAACGGATTGAAATGTATAATCAGCAGTTATGCAGGTATGGTATTAATTATGAATTAAGCTCGAGTGTCTGTTTTAATGTTCCAAGTATCTCACTCCAGGCAGAAGGTAATCAATTACTTCATTAATATGCGTGAATGACAAGCGGCGTTAAATAATTAGGAGTAGAAAGGACCATAAGCCACTTCTGCACTTGGGAGGGATACGAGGATACGATAGGAACTGGGACACGCAGACGGAGTGAAGCAACGGTGCCTAACCACTTGGACGGTCGGGGACTGAACGCCGACCTGCAAGAAGCGAGACCGTCGCTCTATCATCCAGTCCAAGTGGTTAGACTTGGGTTAGTTTGATAATAATTCAAAATTATGATAATAAAATAGGATTTAGCGCCTCGCCTGAGGTAGAACAGAGGAAGCGTTTGGTTTTAAACCCGTGAACCCTTTTTGTGTGGCGGGGGGGTGGGGGGGTGTTTGTGTCTGTTACCACATGATACTGACGGGGTGTTTGGCGAGGCGGAGGCTGAGGTAGGGGGTGACGGCGGGGTGGCAGGTGGACGACAGGTGGTTGTGGAGGTCCTCGTGCGACACCTCACAGGACGGCCGTCCATCGCACCTGTAATAGAGCACCCACAACTAGTCACTGCCAGCACTACTGGTGGACCGCCTGGAGAACCTCCGCCCACAGGTTATCCCCGGTGTGAGTCTCCGGGTGATCCCTCCTCTTCTTAATTGATAATGCTCTAGTCCACACAATCGTGGTCCCCCCGCTCTAGTGCCTTCTGATTAATGTTTCTCGAATAGAAGGAGTTGTCATTTTACAAAAATATTGGAGCTTGTGGCATCGTTATACAAAATAGTTTTACAAATAAGGGTGAGGGCATGTTTTGTATGTTTCTTTAGTCTCTCATATACCTTGCATTCTCTATTATTTCATCAGGAAAGAAAAACGTAAAATAAGGAGTAATTCTTGATCCAAATTTCAAGAACATTTTATGATATATAATGAAGAACTAAGGAAAGAAGACCTAGGAAAGAACAATTAGTGAAGCTAGAATAGTGGAAGTGAAACAGACATCAGCGAGGCAGCAGCCACACACCAGCCCACTTACTTCTGGCGAAGTAACGACAGGGCGGAGGCGGCGTAGCAACCAGAGAATGTTTGGTTGACCGAAGCGTTGCGACCGAAGAGAGCAAACTCGACCTTCCACACCAGCGAATCATCGGTCGAGAACCTGTAGTTGCCACCGTTCACAACAACAAGCTTTTCCTCGTTGTCTACAGACCGAAAGAACAACACCCAAATTTAAAATTCAATCTCGCACTCATGACCTTGAATAAGTAGTTTAACAAAAGGCTGAAGAAAAGACTGTACTGCATAATAGTTGTTAAAATAAATATATCCATATGTATTAAATACATCCATACGATAAATAATGAAGGAGCTAATAGTAATATTGATATATAAGACATGTTTACTTGATAAATTGATGAACTAACCAGCTTGAAGTTCACATTTGAGCCCAGTGTACCCGGGCGGACAGCGACACATGGCCGTGCTGAAGGACGGGTCGGCCAGACCCAGAGCCTTGGACGCGGGAAAGCAAGTGGCTCCATTCTGGCAGGTGTTGTTCGCGCAGGAGTCGTTAGGTGGGAGGAGGGAGGTGGTGAGGCGGGGCAGCGGCCTGAACACTGGCGGGAGGGCACACACCACCTGCAGTCTCTTACTCGAACACTCTTCCCCACACCGGATATAATTGCCGCCTGAAACATATGCCTGGTCTGGTGTCCGGGCAAACAGTCGCGGTGTTCGAGTGCTTCCTTCCTCAACACCCAGCGTCCACCACTCTTCCGTCCAGTGGTTGTAGAAACTCGAATCATTGATGAAACTCGCGAGATCTCCTCCACTCTGAAGGCAGATATTGCGACCGGATTCGAAATCGGTGGGATCGTGGGTTTCGAAACACGTGTTGTTGAAGAAGAACAGCTCATCCTGGCAGACTGGACTGGTGGTGTTTTGAGTCAGACGGACCGTCAGAGTGAAGTCCTCGAGGTCAGTGTTGTGTCGACAGACCTGAGACTCTTCCAGGTAGCTGTGGAGACGCTCGTACTCGATGGTACACTGGTGCTTCCCGGCACACCTGCAGGAGAGAAGACACCCATTGCAGGCTCCAGCGGATTGCTGGATCAGTTGAAATTATTTACCCCCTCACAGAAATGGTGCTATAAAGTGATTACGAACAGCTTTTGTAACGATATAAAACTGATAAGTAACTCGAAACAATTATACGATATCCTTAGGGTATACATGCAAAATATGAATACAATATCCTACTATCACCCTCAAGTAGGATATCATTACAGTTCTCACCAATACTTGAGGATGGCCAAGGCGTTCGGGAGAACGCAGCCTGGGTACGACGACTGTGTCGCCGACGGAGACAACCTGCTGGTGTTGGTAGAGAAATCGGCGTGCGTGATCACCATGTACTCGTCAGTTGTCAGCGTCGTCGAGGATTCCACTACGCGATCTGTGTGGGGGAAGGAGAGAGCTGTGGCGGAGAGCAGCACTAACATGTGCCAGAGACATCATCCATCTACTTATATAAACATACACCCCCACCCCCATCACATGTATCATATACCCCCCCCCCATCATCCATGTATCATATACCCCCCCCCCATCATCCATGTACTATATACACCCATCACTCAGGACACGTATTTTAAACTGATGCAAACAAAAGTAAACAAGGTAACATGGCCGCATGTGGCAAGCCGGCACATATAACAAAAACGTTAAAATAAAAAATTCTTCCACGATATTTTACTCAACCTACGTGACACCCGTGCTTGAATACGCAGCGCCGGCATGAAATCCAAGCTATATATAATAAAAAAAGTTACTTGAAAAAACACAACAATCTGCAAAAAGGCTTGTACATGAATTCACTGGAAAAAAGGTACGAGGATCTAATAGAACTCAATCCAAGGACTCTAGACCAGAGTCTAAATCAGAGAAGATTTGACTAAGTACAAAATATTGAGGGAAAAATGGCAAAGCGAGAAAGGACACCACAACCATCACCCACAAACACCGTCACCTTCCAGGACGGGAGTGCAGCTGTCGTCGAGGCAGCGACAGGTGTAAGGATAGTCGTCGGGTACGTCGTCTTGCTGCTGGATATTCCCGCCACCCTGGGCGGGCGCCACCAGGCCGTCGGTGGCGGGAAAGCAGGCGCCCTCGTCGCCACACGCCTCCTCCAGGTTGCAGCGCCACGCCAGGCTCGCAGACCTCTCTGTGGGCACAGGGGTCACCTACATGACACTACTCAATACATACATGTAAATGGTTCTTCAGGGCACATAATGCATTCTATATGAACGTCAGCAAAGTGCTGTATATTGCTTCAACAATGCAGAGAAATGTTGCGAAGTATAATAACAAACAAAAGTATTGTTATGTAAATAAGTATATCAACAGAATGTTCCATTCCGGGAAGATTATGCAACACCGTATGTATGTATATAATGTTACAGGGAACGTTAATGTGAGTTACCCGTTCGGTTGGTCCGTACAAGGAAGCTGGCAGAGGTATTATTCTGTGTAACAGTGACTTTGTAGCCGGAGTCGGGCCGGAGGTCGTGGTAGATGTGGTACTGGACGCTGGGAGACACTGGCAGGCAGACAGGAGCTGGAGCAGACACGAGACACAGTAGTTTGGTTAAGGTCTATCAACGCTACGAGGGGCTCTTAAGTCCAGCACACTCACTAAGTATATATATATACACTTCTCGGCGTATATATATACATACTTTCAGTGTATATACACCGAGAAGCGGGTTATACCTGTGTATATACACCGTTGATAACTTGAACAACAAATTTTCATTAATCGCAATAAATTCAGTGCTTGAAATATACAATAGTTTCCGATATAAAATGGGAATATTCAAATAGAAAATGGATGCCCAATAAATGCTGTACAAGTGATACATTAGTGGCGAACACTATATGATCAACCCGTCCTTTTAAAAATAACGTCACTTTTCGCTCGTATGCGCATTATGGTCGAATTTGGACGTAATTTGAAATGAAATCTACTCACAAAAGTGACGTACTGTCCCGTTTTCTGTTTGAGTCGTCCGGCTTACTCGGAAAGGTTAGAAGAGGAAACTTTCAATTAACGTTTTTCATAACGTTTTGAAACCATGAGAATTTCCTGCCCACCTAACCTACCAGAGGACTCTTAACTTAGTTGTTGAAAAAAATAAATCGCAAATTTATTTACATTTTCAAATTACGTCCACTTTCGGCCATACGGGCAAAAGCGACGTTATTTTTAAGAGGACAGGTTGTTGAACCATAACACAAAACAAGTCAAACCGGATCGATTGTTGCTACCCTGATCACCGAGGGCGGTGCACACCTGGAGGAGGCTCGCACCAGACTCCCACTCCACCATGATGGTCGTGGCCGTGGTCGCTGCTCGCAGCTGCCCTGCAAAATAAATCATTATCAAACCAATGCGCTGTGCTAGTTTGCCTATATAAATTTACCTATGTTAAAATAGAAGACAGAGCTTGTTGATATCTTCCATGATGCTAATATGAGGACAGAATAGGGGTGAAGGAACGATGCCTATAGCCACTTAGATCATTCGCAACCCGTTCTCGCACTTTCTTACAGTCAATATTGACTTATTAAATACGTGCATATGTGACATACTAAACATACTAGTTTACCTTGAAAAGCTTCATACCTATACCTATAATAGGTTAAGTAATAATTGAAATTACGAAGCAATAAGATGCTTATCTTAACATACTAAGAAGGTTAGGTAAGGTCGGTGTTTTCTATGAAGCTTTTCAAGGTAAACTAGTATGTTTAGTATGTCACATATGCACGTATTTAATAAGTCAATATTGACTGTAAGAAAGTGCGAGAACGGGTTGGGGATCGAACACCGACTCTGCAAGAGACGAAGCCGTCGTTGCACCAACCATACCAACTGGCGCACATTATATGGTGTTTGAGGTTACAGATGTCTGCTTCACCAAGTATTGTATCAAGCGACACATGGAGTAGAGGGAGGTGTAGTTTACCAGTAACTAGTTTCGAGGGACAGGAAGCCTGAACTCTCTCTCATTGTCTCCCCCCCACCACCAGGTCATGCAACTACTGACTTTCCCTAAGATGAGTATCAATTTAACTGCCGGTAGAAAAGGTACAAGTGCTCAACCGTTTCTGTCCTGGAATGGAACCCGGGTCCATTTATTGTGTGACGTTAACACACCAAACCAATAAGGGATTGTTATGTTATCTTGAGGTTATCTTGAGATGATTTCAGGGCTTTTAGTGTCCCCGCGGCCCGGTCTTCGACCAGGCCTCCACCCCCCAGGAAGCAGCCCGTGACAGCTGACTAACACCCAGGTACCTAATTTACTGCTAGGTAACAGGGGCATAGGGTGAAAGAAACTCTGCCCATTGTTTCTCGCCGGCGCCTGGGATCGAACCCAGGACCACAGGATCACAAGTCCAGCGTGCTGTCCGCTCGGCCGACCGGCTCCCACATTGCTTACAAATGTTGCATTGCAGATCAGCGCTGGAAGAACGGGGAGCCGGTCGGCAGAGCGGACAGCACGCTGGACTTGTGATCCTGTGGTCCTGAGTTCGATCCCAGGCGCCGGCGAGAAACAATGGGCAGAGTTTCTTTCACCCTATTACCTAGCAGTAAAATAGGTACCTGGGTGTTAGTCAGCTGTCACGGGCTGCTTCCTGGGGGTGGAGGCCTGGTCGAGGACCGGGCCGCGGGGACACTAAAAGCCCTGAAATCATCTCAAGATAACCTCAAGATAACGGTAGTGGATAGCGGTAGAACTGTGGCAAGGGACGACAAATGTTGCAAGGTACCTGGGAAATTGACCCGAATGGACCAGTTCACTCCGTCGACGACTCACATGGGATATAGGCTCGGCCGTGGCAGTCACTGCTGGAGGTGCTGACCCGCACGTCGATCACCTCTCCTGCAGGAACCGTCAGTGTTGCATTCGTGTCCAAAGTTTCGTTACAGAGAGATTGGTTTCGTGTGGCCCAGTTCCAGCAGATTTCATAAAGTTCGTCATCTATTCGTAGAGAAACATTGAAGGGGAACACTGTAGTGTGGATAAACATGAGTATATGCACACACTCACACATATAGAACCACTTTAAGAGTGGTTCACACACGTGGAACCACATAACTGAGTGAATTCACACGCGCATGGGACCACAATACAATGCATTCACACACACACACATTGAACCAGGTAGAAGTGAAGTCACAGAGAGAGAGAGAGAGAGAGAGAGAGAGAGAGAGAGAGAGAGAGAGAGAGAGAGAGAGAGAGAGAGCCAGAGAGAGAGAGAGAGCCATATAGCCAAAGAGAGAGAGCCAGAGAGACGGAGAGAGAGAGAGACAGAGAGAGCGAGCCAGAGAGACATAAGAGAGCCAAAGAGACAGAGAGAGAGAGACAGACAGAGACCATTCACTACATACCTGACGGCTCCCACGAGGCACTAAGCGTCCTCGGTAGAAGAAGCTCGAGCTGAAGGTTGTTCTTGCACGTGGAGCCCTCAGTGGTGGTGGCCGAGGCTGTAGCAGTGGATATGTCGGTGGAACGATCACTGCTGGTTTGGAGGGTGGTGTCAGTAGTGGTTATCGTGGTAGGACTGCTTGTACTGGTTATCGTGGTAGGCTCAGTAGTGGTTATCGTGGTAGGACTGTCTGTAGTGGTTATCACGGTAGGCTCAGTAGTGGTTATCGTGGTAGGACTGTCTGTACTGGTTATCATGGTAGGCTCAGTAGTTATCGTGGTAGGCTCAGTAGTTACCGTGGTAGGACTGTCTGTAGTGGTTATCACGGTAGGCTCAGTAGTTGTTATCGTGGTAGGACTGTCTGTACTGATTATCGTGGTAGGCTCAGTAGTTGTTATCGTGGTAGGCCCAGTAGTTATCGTGGTAGGCTCAGTAGTTGTTATCGTGGTAGGCTCAGTAGTTGTTATCGTGGTAGGACTGTCTGTAGTGGTTATCAGGGTAGGCTCAGTAGTTATCGTGGTAGGCTCAGTAGTTATCGTGGTAGGCTCAGCAGTGGTTACCGTGGTGGGAGTGGTTATCGTGGTAGACGTGGTAGGAGTGGTTATCGTGGTAGGAGTGGTTATCGTGGTAGGAGTGGTTATCGTGGTAGACGTGGTAGGAGTGGTAGACGTGGTAGGAGTGGTTATCGTGGTAGGAGTGGTTGACGTGGTAGGAGTGGTTATCGTGGTAGACGTGGTAGGAGTGGTTATCGTGGTAGACGTGGTAGGAGTGGTTATCGTGGTAGGAGTGGTAGACGTGGTTATCGTGGTAGAAGTGGTAGGAGTGGTTATCGTGGTAGAAGTGGTAGGAGTGGTTATCGTGGTAGAAGTGGTTATCGTGGTAGAAGTGGTTATCGTGGTAGGAGTGGTTATCGTGGTGGGAGGGGTAGACTCAACAGTGGTTATCGTGGTGGGAGGGGTAGACTCAACAGTGGTTATCGTGGTGGTAGTGTCAATAGTTTCTAGCGCTTCGGAAGTGGTAGTGACAGCCAGTACCCCAGAGATAGCTACCAGCACACCTGAAACAGCCAAAACCGGGATACAACTTCTTAAAACTTCTTTAAATTCTTTTTTAAATTCAAATTTTGCCCCGAGGGGCGAGTTTATATGGCAGCGCCACTCATCTTGTGAGTGGACACACCGCCATAGCAGCATGTACAACACTCCAATAGGAAGAAAACCCGCTGGGTTGTTCATCCTGTCACTTGTACCCAGACACAGCTGGGACTTGCTTAACTGTCTCAAGTGAACAGCTCCTCAAACAAGAAGATTAACATCTGTCAGCCGTTTAAAGCTTACGTTATCTTGCGGGGGCAAAATAGGGGAATCTTTTAAGAACAGTATCAATCTCTTATTTTCCTCGCTGAGAGTTTGTACCTTAAAAACAAAGTATAACTTGGCATATACCACATATGTACTTATTAATCAGCCAAATATTGACTATGAGCAATAAGTCTCATATGTACTGTCTTGTGCGACAGCGGGTTCCTTACACACAATGTCTTACTAAGATTATCTTACGGGATAACTTATCAAGTGTGAGTCACAGTAACGAAAGTATTTATATATATGATGGTTATTAAGGCATTTACTAACAAGATGGAAAGCATGTATAATGTTCTCATAAACACTCATATACATTATGAGTGTGTATAACCAGATAAAACTCCCGTCGGTTCTAATTTTGACTCAAATATGTTTTGAGTCACGCTCATATTATATATTCCGTTCAAGGGTCACATACAAAGAGGTGTATATCCTACTTAGAGTAAAAGCGTCATGATTGAAGCATACACATGGATGAAAGGGTATAACAGAGGGGATATCAATAAGATTTTAAATATATTCACACAAAATATATCGCAGAGAAATGAAAAATTAATTGGAGAATTTTAAAGCTAGAAAGGACCTGGGTAAATACTGGATTGGAAATAGAGTTGTGGATTTATGGAGCAATATACCGGTAACGAAATAGATGTGGGATTAATGGTTTGTTTTACACGTAAGGAGGGACTTTATATTTATATATAATACTCGTTAAAAGTATGTGGTGCCTCGTGCGAGGCGCCACATACTTTTGAAGAAAATAGATTGAAGGTATTATGGGTGAAAATTTTAAACAGATGCGGCGCCTCCATGACGTCACAAAAACCGTTAGCTGGCAGCTGGTACCTTCAGGCCAGGCGCTAGTCAGCTCCAGGCTGTCATGGTGAGTGGTCGTGTGTGTCTCACCTTGCTCTGTCATCCTACGATGTTTTATGCACATTTTAGTGGTACTTGTGGTTTTACCGTGTTGGTATGACACCTACCAAGGAATTCAGAAAAAAACAGGCTCCTTATCGTGTCTTATCTCCTGTATCTTTTAGGTTTATGTCGTTTGAGCTAGTTCTCATATTAGATTGTATTAACAGAGCACCATAATTACTGTAATACAAAATTTATCAGTTTCAAGGTATGTTTAGTTAAAAAGCAGAGCTAAAATATTCCGCTATAAATATTAATTGTCTCGTCTGCTAGGCCCAGGTTTATGTGATTCAAACTCACCCACTCTGCAACGATTGGACAAAAGCTTATCAACCCGGAACTGTACTTTATTTAATGGGAGGTTCTGGGTTTTAGGATTTTGGGTAAATAGGCTTGTGTCCCATCGTGGCTAAAGGCAGGTGTTTGAGAATCACCAGAACGCCGGTTTAAGCCACCCCATTGCTTCACAATTATTTTCTCATTTATACAAATACAATACACATATTTATTCAGGTAAAGTACATACATACAAGGGGAGATACAAAACGTTAATGGATTTATAGATAGAGCTAGTACATACAATGCCTAAAGCCACTATTACGCAAAGCGTTTCGGGCAGAGCGTTTATCACGCCATTGTAATTTCTTTGGGATTATATATACATGTATATATATAAAAAGGGAGGGAGGGAGAGAGAAAGAGAGCGAGCGTAAGCCTGCTTACTACGCAGCCATATCCATCAAGGTCGTACCCAAATACTTTTGCAAGCTACTTACCGATGAAGCAGCAGCTACTGAACCACGTAAAGCTCGTCATGGTGCCTCAGTCGTATTTCAGCAGTGCGCTACCTGAAGACGTTCCGCATAAATGGCAACATCCGTCCTTAAGATCTCTTACTTCAGAAGAATTCCCTGCTCCAAATGTGCAGTGTGGTGGGCAATGTGTGTGTGTGTGTGTGTAGAGTGTGGTAGCTTGTTTGTGGTAGGCAGTGTGGTAGACGAGTAGGAGAAGGACCCAGCCTTCAGAACCGGAGTTAAGAATGCGACTGTATCTCCCACGAGTTAATCTCAAGGAGAGTTATCTTATCGTACTTATCTGCACTTCATATTTACTCGGTAATTTTTGATTACTTGAAATTAAGTAGGCACATACCTTTCACGACACTCCTGCACTTGTATCAGTACAGACTGTTACGGCCACACTTAGCCAGTAACCGGGGTTATCTTGAGTTATATCTTGAGTTGATTTCGGGGCTTTAGTGTCCCCGCGGCCCGGTCCTTGACCAGGCCTCCACCCCCAGGAAGCAGCCCGTGACAGCTGACTAACACCCAGGTACCTATTTACTGCTAGGTAACAGGGGCATTCAGGGTGAAAGAAACTTTGCCCATTTGTTTCTGCCTCGTGCGGGAATCGAACCCGCGCCACAGAATTACGAGTCCTGCGCGCTATCCACCAGGCTACGAGGCCCCTTTACGAGGCCCCGAGGGTTCTTTTCATTCAAACTTTCTATGAGGCGTTAGTGCCTCATCTTACCTATGACAGAGTTGGATCTGTTAAGTTATTAAGAACTTGCAATAATAGTCAATCTAATGGTAATGGGGGTAAACAACGCTGAACAAAAAAAATATCACCACGTGTACTTCTTAACTATATACACATTACATATGTATAACACATAACACCGCTAAGACACTCGTTATACGTGATCACTTATTTCGAAATTCACGTCCGGTTTACCGATGACCAGTTGTGATCCTCTACAAGCCTAGCGACACTTTCATCAACGGTAACTTAATAGAACAATAGAGTATCTAACATTTTCTGTCAACTTCCTTAAATACTTAGTGCGACATTCACAAATTTTCAGCCACTTGACATCTTGATATTTTCTAATTACGAGTTAAACATTAGTGAGAATATTATTTGGAGTTTTGACAATTTGTTAAGATTTTGGCGATTTTGTAACTTGATTTGTTTACATATTATTTCTCTAGACGATATACTGTAGTGTGTCGAGGCTGATAATAATTCATTCGATATTAATACCGTGATTATAGTACTAATATGTGATGAATCATTTCGTGCCTCTTCAAAATAGTTTTTCATTGCGAATAAGGGTAGCGTAGGTTCCTACCTGCCCAGTCGGGTAGGAACCCACACACAGATATGTACTCACTCCGCGGTGGAGTGATAAAGGGGGAGGGTCAACAACCATGGAACTGAGCAATTGCACACTCGGTGTGGTTCTGACGGTGCAGAAATGTGCAATTCAGCGAGACAGAGACAAGTGTTATGATCACGATGCTGCATAAATGAGATGTGCAATTGCATACTTGAATAAAGATGCAACAATGTGACGCAAAAGTCACTTTAAAATGTGTGCAAAGCATCACCAGAGTTGGATGAGCGTGAAGGCTTCTAGTGTGTGTTTGTGTTTTACGAAAGGAAAATCTTTTTAGGAAAAGATTCTTCCTCTCACATAATATCTACAGCGGCGTCTTTTTTTTTTTTAGTTTATGAGGCAAATAGCCACGAAATTTTGCCGCTAATTTTTTCAACCCCATTTTTCCCCGGCCTCAAGTCTCAAGCTCTGGGCCCCCGTCCCGCCTACCTAGCAGGTTGGTTGGAGCCTTTGTGAGTATAGACACCAGGTGGGTCTAAGTGTATAGTGCGAGTGTTCTTATTAATATTTTCGATAGCTGACTTACTGCATTTGTGAGTGTTAGTGATAGTCATTTTAATTCATCTATTTTGTTGAGTTTGTTATAGTTAAAGTCACTCTGTTGCATTTAGGAAAAGGTATCATCTAAATACGTTATTATTAGATTAACTAGATCTCTAATGCACGTCCTACTAATCTCTCTCTCTCTCTCTCTCTCTCTGCTACTACTTCTCTTCCTCCTTCTGCTCTCCACAGCCGGAGACACACCCTGTAGCACACCCCTCTGGTTTGCATAGTGAATCTTGCACGAATGCAATATCAACAACATCAACAATAACTCTGAGAGTCATGTAAACAAAAGCCAGAGTAACATTAGCGAAAAGAATTCAAGTCAACGCAAACAGGACCCGATACTGGTTAAAAAAAATATAATGAATATAAAGAGATTGGAAAAAATCTAACAATCAAATTTCTCACAATAGTTGCAAATTTTTGTAGTCCTCTTGCAATCTGCAATGTTTTTCTTTCATTATGGTGAGACTGTTCTCGTTAGGAAGATCTATTATAGAGGTTTCTCGAGGCGGCGAGGATATGATTCCTTCTTGATGGGGTTCTGGGAGATATAGCTTGTGAAGTGGTCAGTTTAACCTCAAGATGCTCCTGGAAAAAATTAAGGAATATATATTATATTTAAATATTTCATAATAATACTAATAATAATATTCGTACTTTCATTTATATGATAATTACAATTTAACAATCTATATCTATGAAATAAGGTGTCTTCGCAGATGGAGGTCAGACTTTTAAGGTTAGCCTCACCCAACCTTCATTCATGAAACATATGGGGTAGGGGAGTGTCATAGGTCAGTAGGTGGTCGACCCAAGTGAAATGCTTTAAAAAATATTGGCATTTATAGAGGTCCTCCATACGATTTTCATATTTTCCTACAGAGTTGATTAGGATTTTCATTGCTACATAATAGGAATATTCGGAGCGAAGGGGAGAGAGAAGAGGTGGGGGGGGGGGGGGACGGATGAGAGGGAAGGGAAAAAGGATGGCAACAAAATCCTAATTGGCCCAACAAATTTAATATTATCCAACTAAAACCCCCCAATAGAGCTTATTGTTTTGTGAGCTTATTGATGAACGTTCTGTGGGGTTTGTAAGTATGTGTGTTGGGTGATCAATTTAGTATTAAATCCGTTCAGTCATCACATCTCCCAATCTAATCATCTTTTAACTTATTCCATTTGTAATTTGTTTACAGGAATTTACACAAATAGCCAAAATACACTACAAACTATCACACTCACTTGTGGAGTTAAGTTTTATGTAGTATAATAGAATCTGCGCAAATAAAAAACGTATTTATAACACTAAAAAAATCATGATGTCTATACTGTACTATTAAACATTTCGCGGTAAATTCTATGGAAGGTATAAATCTCTGGCTTTCCCGTTAGACGAGTCCTATACCCGTATCGGTATTTTCTCAATGGTTTCTAAAGAGCTACTGTTACCCAAAGGTAACTTCTGAAAAATACTGCCCCTAACGTCCGGGAGATCGTCAAGAGAGAGGACTGAATGGAGATCCCGGAGACGGAGAAGTTTGTTGATACTTCGAGTTCAGCCGGGCACAGGCAAGTTTCTCAGGGTATTCTGGCGCTGGCACAAAGTTGGTAACAGTCGGAGGGACTTGGATGATCTCTCCCCATGCGGCATCTAGGGAGGGAAGAAGAGAGGAAGAAAGATAGAGAGGTAGGAACGCAAGGATGGATCCGTGACCGCGACGGTACATCTCATCATCAAACGGCTGTCAGCATTTTACTAAATGCATTTTACTCTATACGACTGACAGGCGAACCAGCAGGTCCACTCTTATGGAGCGAATCATCATCTCTGAGGCCTTGTTTCCCCGAGAGAGAGCAGGTATAAACTAATTACCATACGTTGAAGCACCCAGCCAAAAGCACATTTCATATATAAGTATAAACTAGTGGGAACCGTTTGCTGAAGAACTCTGACAGTTCGGCGAGCACAGGAGATCACTTATTTCAGGTTTATATGATTTAAATGTACCCCTTCAAACTATCTAGTAAACTAAGATGCAAGTAGAACTTACACTGTAGTGTAACACACACAGAGATCACACTAACGTGATACATCAAATGAACAAATCCACAAGGGCCGTGACGAGGATTCGAACCTGCGTCCGGGAACATCCTCATCACGGCCCTTGTGAATTTGTTCACTATAGTGTAATTTTTGAGAACAGGATGCGGATCGACCCAGCGTTCTGGGTGACCCCAGACATATCGCGTTATTGTGATGTCATTGTTGAGACTTTATACTACACACAGGCGACAGGGTCTTCAGCTGAACCATCAATAAACTTAGCTAATGACCGCTATGTCTTGGTGGCGCAGTGGTCAGCGCAGTCTACACACAACTGAAAAGTCCCATACAGGTTCTATTTCCGCAGCTGGATAGAGACCTTTGGGGGAGTGTTTTCTATTACCTGTTTCTTCTGTTCGCCTAACAGTAAATAGGTAACGGGGAGTTATGCAACTGTTGTGGGCTGCATCCTGGTGATAGGTCAAGAGTCTAGATTCTAAAGAACCACAATAACTCTAACATCCTTCTTGCCCCCGACTATGGGAAACCATTTTCTAACAATTTTTTTTTATAAAAAAAACTAATATAATTTTCATAATGGTTGGCAAAAAAAAAAAATCAGAATTAAGGTAAAAAACACAGAGGGCAAAATTTCAAGCATGTCTGCATCACACACATCCCGGTCAACCTGCCTCTGACCTCTGGCAAGGTCACACACACACACACACACACACACACACACACACACACACACACACACACACACACACACACACACACACACACACACACACACACACACATACACACACACACACACAGCTTACTAATACATTTTTACCTTATTTAACACAAGGGGAACACGCACAAGGGGACACAGGTGGAAACTGAGTGGCCAAATGAGCCACAGAGATATCAGAATGAACTTTTTTAGTGTCAGAGTGGTTGACAAATGGAATGCATTAGGAAGTGATGTGGTGGAGGCTGACTCCATACACAGTTTCAAGTGTAGATATGATAGAGCCCGATTGGCTCAGGAACCTGTACACCTGTTGATTGACAGTTAAGAGGTGGGACCAAAGAGCTAGAGCTCAACCCCCGCAAGCACAATTAGGTACTAGTTGATTGACAGTTGAGAAGCAGGACCAAAGAGCCAGAGCTCAATCCCCGCAAGCACAACTAGGTAAGTACACACACACACACACACAAACTCTCTCTCTCTCTCTCTCTCTCTCTCTCTCTCTCTCTCTCTCTCTCTCTCTCTCTCTCTCTCTCTCT